AAAATCAGTCAGATAAAAACATGTTCAGATAATTTAAAGCTCATCAACTCAGAATATTTAAAGCTGCGATGCGCCTTATTTAAGTATCTAAGTATTTTATTTTTTTCATTTTGTTTTTTTTTTTTTTGTTAATACTTCAGCAACCCGATTTTAAACATCATGTGTCAAGTGTTGTTTTTATACCTTGATACCAATGGAATCATAGTATATTGGTTTTGTGCCATGTCCGTCATGCTGTCCGTCCGTCTGTATGAACACAACTTTATTCGACATCCTTAGAAATAGAGACTTGAAACTTGAAACATATTCTGGTCTGCGCCCGCATCAGACAAAGTCCAAAAACTGGAACTCTATGTCCACTAAGGGGCTAGGAAATCAATAAAATCGATAATCGTAAATCGATGAAGGCACATATCTCTCACATAGGGCTACAGTCACAAAATCTGGTTGGAAGGTTGTTGGCGATGTCCCCCGCCCTCAAAAATGTGAAATATCTATATCTTCCCCAGTTTTTGAGTTAGAGCCGTCAAATTTGTTAGGTGTATTACAGGGAGCCGTCTTTAAGAACCGATTTTGTATGACCACGCCCACACCTGCGCCCATAATCGCCCAAGCCGATATTTCGGAAAGTGTAACTTGCTGAAACCTCATATCTCGTAAATGCGCACATCTTTCACAATTTGTAAGCTAGAGTCAGCAAATTTTGTAAAGTATGTTGTGATAACTCCCCACGCCCACTCCGCCTCCCTAAACCAATACACCTGTTAGTGTAAATCGGTAAGACCGAATATCTCGCACAATTTGAAAAGAAGAATCACCAAATTTGAAAGGATGATGGCCAGTAACACCCTTCAAGAATCCTGAAAAGTTGTAGACAACACCCATTCCCGCCACAAAAACGATAAAAGTCAATATCGCCCTCAGTTGGCAAACTTGTAGGGTAGATTATTAAGATCGCACTTTAACGCCCACTCTCAAAAACCTGTATCTCCCGCAATTTAATAGTTACAGTTACCAAACTTGGAAAGCAGATTATTGGGAATCTTCTTCAACATTTTTTTCCGGCCACGCCCATACCCACCCCCAGAATGCAGAAAAGTCAATATCTATTGCAGTTTTAAAGGAAAACTTGGAGGGTAGATTTGTAGGAACCTCCTGCGAAGATCGGTATTTGTTTATCTTTGTTTATACTCCTTCCAGGGAGAGATTCACAGTGTCTGTCTACTCAGCTACGCAGCTTAAATTTGACTATATGGATAGCCTAGCATAAGAAATGGGCTCGAAAATTTACGTAATATCCATCAAAACGATATCACGTTTGTGTTTTAAAATCTATAAGTTTTTGGCAAAATTAGGTCAGTGGTGAAATTCTTGTTTAAGTTTTAAGGATTTAATCAAATGAGTTAATGAATATGGTTGGTTTACGTTAGAAAAGACGTCGCTGTATATAAGTAAAAATGTAAATACGACCGATTTAAATTGGGAATGGCCTCAATAACCATATATGTGTAACGTATGCAAAGCGTATTCGCATTCTCATTTAAATATTTGGATACGCCTATGTATGTATGTATATACCCAGGGTGTGAGTTGTGAAACCAGTCGCTTAGGGACTGAACTGTTTCATATACTGCTGCTGACTGTTGCCTTCCTCTCTTTCATCAGCGCCCTCCTCATCCCGCTACTGCATCGCTTGCTTCTACTTCAATTAGCAGCGCAAATCAAAGTCTGAGCCACGCTAATGCCGCCAGACAACAACGGACAGCAAAAACCCGAAACTGAAACCAAAACAGAACCAGAAACCAAAAACCAAAAACCGAAGCAGCGATCAAGTGGCCGCCAAAATAAATCCCGCCCCCATGCCCCTGAAGCGTTTGCTTAGTCTGTGTCCCGACAAAAAATTTACAATAAAAGAATATAAAAAATAGAAAAATAAAAAAATCAAAAGTTAGAAAAAAGTTAAAGCCGCGAGTCCAGCAGCGTTGCTGGCATTAAATTGATAGAGCACCAAACCCGATGGCAACATAAACAACACAATTGTTGCTAATGGTTGATGGGGTGCTTGGGACAGCAAGGGAATAGCGCAGCACGCGGCTGCGATTTTTCGCCTTTGATAGAAAAACAATTTTTCTACTCCATTTCACGCGTTCAAGGCAGCAGCGAACCAGGGCAGGGCTTAGCATGAAAATTGTACAATGGAAGTAGGGGCACAGCCGAGCTAGAGGGGATCTGGGGTCATGGTAGTAGCATTCTCGAAACGCTCGTCAGCGGAAAGATGCCGCCAGACCGATAAACGCTAGAAATGAAATAACAAAAAAAATCTATTTTTTTTTGTGGTGTATATCGAACAGAGCTAACCCATATCTCAATATTGTTCGCTCACTCTCTCACTCTCTCTCTCCCTCCATCTCTCTCTATCTTTTAGTATCTGGTTGACGAAAGTTTTGCTCAATGAGACCCAGTTTGTTGTTGTTACCGTTCAATGACTTTTCTTCTGATGTAGCTTTGTAGTTATGATTTGTAAATGGCGCGCACCAATCAAAAATCCCCCCCAAAAATAGAATAATATTGATAAACCGAATTTCATATTCACAAAAATACCCGTTTACGGATTTACTTTGTCGTCGCGTCCCAAATTAACAAACATGATATACGAGATTTTAATGATATATACTTAGGAGAGGGTATTTTTTTTTGCTGTCGTACAGGCAGGTACTAACTACTGTAAACATACATAAAAAATAGGTATTATTTATATATAAGCTGGATATATGTACTGTGGAGCATTGAGCCAAATCGATTTAGTCACTGCAGTTTTGGATATTTTCTGGTTCATCAGTTATATTATAAAGAAATACTTCCCCTTGAATGGATAATTTAAAAGTGGACCCTTTATTTATCATATTAGAAAAACAATAAATATATTCTAGATTCAAGTAGAAAAAAGTATCAAAAGTGAACAGAACAACAAAAATATTAAGCATGGCTATTAAAACTAGAATATACAACTTTAATCTCGTTGCCTGGCCCATCTATCCTTCTTATATCTTTTTATACCCTTGTAGAGTGTATTACAACTTTGTCCTGAAGCTTACAATGCACTGAAGCAGACATCTGCGAGCCTATAAAATATATATACATTCTTGATCAGCATAACTAACCGAGACGACATAGCCTTGCATCTGGAGTCTGTCCTCATTTTATACACCCTCACAACTATCTTGCTAAAAATGATCATATATCCGAATTTTGACTTCGATCACTTATCATACCGGTTAGGACCATTATATTATATGACTGGCACAAGATCAATCGACAGAAGCATAGGATACAATATAACTAAACAGTCATGAAAAAGATAACATTTAAATAAAATTAGTTTGAAGCATACAAAAACATAATAAAATATCAAACTACGTTCCAAAATTTGGATGTCAGCAGATTAACAAGCATTTATTGTACTTCTCATTTCTGGAAATCAATCTTCGATTCGAAATCAAAAATTCTTGAGAAAAATGTGCAGTAATTTTTTTCCTTTTCGTTCCATGGCGAATTATTTTAGATGTGGTGAAAATCAGAGAAACGCAATATGTCATAAATTTTAAAATAGATTCCTAAAAGAATTTTGCTTTTGGGTTGTCAAACATATCAGTCGCTTGTACAGTGCTGGGTATTGTTCTGGGACAAGTTTCTAAAATGCTAAACACTTTTGTCAACAGAGCAGCAGCACTCAAATTGACGTCGTTACTTAAGCAGGTTTTAGATTTCGGTTTTTTTTTTTATGACAATAAAATGACTAATTCAAATAATGAATATGCGAATAATGAATACCATGTGCCTCAGCCTCAACTAACGCTCCAGCCGACCTACAGCGCGTACGTTGACGCCAAATGAGAAAAAGCCCACTTGGCCCTGGAGTGACCTAAACAAATGCCAAATAACAACTACCTGGTTGTGATGTCTGGTTTTAAGACGATCCGACGTCAGAGGACAGCTTAACGTAGCTAAATCTGAGTCTACAATTTTCTAGTGTTCATCGGATGTTGCGAGTGAATACAATTGACATGATTAAGGCAAACTCATCATACTTATAACATTAAAACATCATGTGATTGTATTTGAAGACGGTTTTATAATCATTTCAAAGTTAAATACACTTAATGCTGGCAATGGCAGCATTTTAATCAAAAAATTTCTAGAAAAACGCAAGGAAGAATGAAAAGACAAATTAATTGAATTAATAGAAGCTAAAATATAAATGGGGAAACATTTGTTTTGGGATAAGTTGATTATAAAAAATAAAATAAAAATAGAGAGAGAATTTCAATACTCTAAAAGTCCATTTTAAATGTTCCAAAGACCATTTTTATAATATCTATGACATTTTTGTATATTCATTTCGACCATTTGCCCACAGATCCATCTATATGCAGGTTAGATTTTGAAATGTATTCCTCGTATAACAGGGTATATCTCTTGATTCTGTAAGTTCTGGCAGGTTTATACTTGAACGTGGAAAAAACCCCGGGCCTAACAAAAGAAAATATACATACACCTCGGGAGCAGTTGTGTGGTCAACAAAAATTGATAAAATCGCTGTCTTCTTAATTTTTTGAACTCATCAAAAAGCAAACGTAAGTATGTATTTATGTATGTGTAATGCTGTCGGTAGAGAACAAGTAAAACAAGAATTAGTCGTCAACACACAAAAAAAAAGAAAAAGAAAAAGAATAGTAATAATAATAAAGAAGACAAACACAATAATAAAGAAAACCTGTACGAAATTCAATTTCATTTCAACAAAATAATATAATAATGCTAAGTTTGATGCCAATGACGATAACGTTAACGCTAACGCCAACGCCAACGCCAACGCCGACGCCAACGCCAGCATCGCAGTCTCCATCGGCAGCTAATCAATAAAGCGCGTTAATTATTGTTTGGTTTAAAGCTTGATTACAGCGCCATCGAGCAGCTTAGAACGCCAGTGAACGCTTAACGTAAAACACGCGCGCCTCTTCTGTCTGGTGCGGTGGGATATACCTGCCTACAAAAAGCAAGCACACACATAAAAAAAATATAAAAAAATAGAAAGCCACAACAGCAGAAAAAACCGTCGAAAACACGACAAAAACAGCACACGATAAAAGTCGCCAGCTGCCAAAAACGCGCTCATTGCGTGCGCTGTTTTCGCAGCGGTAAATTAGCCAGCAAAGCGCAGGAACCGAACGAAGCTCCCACCTGCATACATAGATACTAACGCAACGGATATCAGATACAGACAGAGATACCGCGATACGCTGCCAGGATGAGGATGCGCCACGCATTTGCTGGATTAATTGTGTGCTGGCTGGCAGTTTGTCAACCGCAAGGTAAATATTTTTGTGCCACGGCGCACCGCTAACAACAGCGACAACAACAACAACAGCAACGACAGCAACAGCAATAACAATAATGACAATAGCCGTACGAACAACGGGTAGACAGGATAATGACACCAACACTCTCACACACACACACACACACACACACACACAGACAATCGCCTGCGCAATTTTGTGCTTTGATATTACCGCAATAATTGCAAAATTATCGCTGGATTTTGCACCAACGTGAGACGCATATTGACAACCGTAACGAAAGAACAACAGCAGCAACAGCAACAGCAACAGCAACAACAACAACAACACCGACAAAAACAACAACGACAATCGACAGCGAAAAGTACAACCTAAAAAGGGATAATGAGCATGGCATGCAGCTTTACAGAGATCCTGCGTTAAATAGTCTCTCACAGTCAAAGTGATTACAACGCACAACATTTACTTCCGGCTCAGATTAAACACCAAATTGTGTGTTAACAATTAAAACAATATTCGAATATATATTGAAAGCTATATTAAAACTATATGTACGAGTATTGTGGTACATGGTACAACAATGCAACAAGTGGATGCTCGCAATGCTGAGGCATTTCATTATTTTCAAGTGTTAAATTGTGCACATTTTTTTGTTTTATTTTATTATTTTATTATTTTTTTTTTGTTTGTTTGCTTTTTTTATAGGCTTACTCAAGTGTTTTTTTTTTATTACTTTTTTTTGTGATTTTTTTATAAACTCTAAATAAAATAAACGAACGTGTCCAAAGTTATATTTTGGGCTCCGTTTTTCAATTGTATGCTGCTCATGAGAGTTTGGATGTGATAGAACAGAATAATTGAAGGCCGAATGATATCCTTTTTAAAATCGTTTATTTTGCATTTTTAGAATGCAAACATTCTGCATATATTTGTAAGCTTTGTTTTTAACCAAAATAATGAAATAATAAACCATACTCGTATATAATTTTTAGGGTCGAGTTTTAAATTTGTGGAAAAAAGAAACTCACTTTTAATCAGCACTAAATATGATACTTTATAGATATTTTCAAAACGAATCCCAAAATGTAACCAAAATGAATAAGGATCAAATGTCATTAGTTTAAATAGTACAAAACATTTTTTATACCTTGAAGATTATAGTAAATTTAATATTTTGTTTTTCTCACTTATTATTGTTTATATTATTATTATTTACGAATTGGAATTATTATATTTAACGAACAATTTAAAGCAAGCAAATAGCAAAGAGTAGCTAAGTACATTCCTTAGGAAATCTATACGAATTGTATTATTCTTACGTTGTGCAGTTACTGAAATACATACAGCATATGGACCGTCAGGGAATAGGCCATGAAACGTTACCAAACAAAAATAATTATAGGAAAACTGCTCGCACATTAAACGATATTCAAACTAGAAACAGTCAAATCACAAAAAAAAAATTAAAAACGCACAGAAAAAAAAAAACAAATAAGCAAAAGCGAGTCGAGCGCGATACAAGTTTTTGAGGAGTTCTTCCAGCCGCTTGCTACTGTTGTTGTTGATGCTGCTGTTGCCAAGGTGGAGGTAGAGGGGGGACTATGAATGCATGAAGCTTGTGATATGTTTACCTCAAATATCGCGCAACAAATAACAAAAGTTGCGCCAGATGGGCGAACAAAAACTTTTACGTTTACTTTATGGTCGCATCTTAACCTGAATTCTACACCAAACACTCATTCTCTGTCTCTCTCTCTCTCTCCCTCTCTCTGTCTCTCTATCGCTATCTATCTCTCTCTCTCTCTCTCTCTCTGTTTGTCTCTAATAGTAGCTGAGGCACAGTTTGGCGGACTCCGGGGCTCCGCTTCTCGCGCCAACACCAATGCCTACGAGCGTCAGGTGGAACTTGGCAACAATTTAGAGTACACGCAAGGATTGTCAAACTCACGAGCGGTGACCCGCCAGAATGGTCAACGCACTGTGTCGAACAGTCAGGCGCGCAGTAATGAATTCGACCTGGGTGGCTTGCAGATTGGCAATACGCTGACGCGCACGCGCACCAATGCGAATGGCGCCGTTTCTGGCGGTGTGGCCAATCAGTTCCGCATTGGCAACGTGGGTCTGGGCGCCTCCCTCTCACGGGATAACCTCCGTCAGGGCTTTGGTCTGCAGCGCGGAGCCGATGGCGACGTGCGACTAGGTCTGGGTCCGCTCAGTCTTGATCTGGATAACAATGTGCAGCGCACCAATTCGCTCAGCCAGGCGCAGGTTAATGCACAGGGTCGTGGCGCTCGTGTCGGCTCCAATAGCAACACGCGTCAAAATCAACAGCAATTTGGTGGCGTCAATGTCCGGGAGACGTTCACCAATTCGAATGCCTTTGGACGCTCACGTAACGGCCAGACGTCGGCGAATGCAGGCGGTTTTGGACAAAATGCTGCCACACGTGGCGCCACCTTTGGCGGCGGTGCCCCGATTCGTAATCGACGGCAGCAACCTTTCAATCGCCGTCGTCTACGTCCCAAGCGCCATGCACAATATGTGCCATTTGGGTACCCACAGAATGGTTTCAACAATTTCGGGCAAGGCAACTATGGCGGCTTTGGCAATTTTGAACCCATAGACCGATCACGTCGTCAGTTCGGACGTCCCAACAATTCTGGCTTCGGTTTTGGCAACAATTTTGGCGGTAACAATTTTGGTCAGCCTAGTAACAAGAGGCGCCCCCAAGTTCAGTCCGCTGGCAATGCTGGCGCTCAAGGTGGACCCGGCTTCAATCAGCAGGCGGGCAGCAATAATTTTGCCAATCAGAATGCGGATGGTTCACAGGATGCTGGCAGCAGCAGCATTGGCTCCAACCTCGCCGAGAACGGCAGCAGCGGCCAGGTGAGCTCAGCGAATACCAATCATCAGTCAAGGCCTGGCCAATCATCGAACGGCGCCCAGAGCCAGGCGCTCAACTTCAACGAGAGGGGGCAGCAGGCAACTAGCTCGAATGCGAACACCCAGCAGATAAGGGAGGGCAATCGTGAGACAATTGGCTCAAACAGTGGCTCAACTGCCACCAATAACAATCCGTTTGGCAGCACCAGTAACACGGCCAATACCGACACGCAAGTGGTCAGAGACGGCAATCAGCAAACGATCAACTCCGGCGCGAACAGTCAGTCCATCTTTCAGGGCAACAACAATCAGGGCAATGCGGCTGCAAATACCGCCGCCAACATCAGTTCGCAACGTGGCCCAGGTGGATTTGTGAGCAACTCGGCCTCCAGCAGTGCCAGCGCGACCAGCACCAATGGACAGTCGGCAAATGCGAATGCCAATGCCAGCGCCGGTGGAAACTCTAACGGTGCAGACGCAGGTGCCAATGCATTTGGTGGAAACCGCAATCGTGGCAATGCCAATGCCAATAGCAATGTGTTTGGCGGCTTTAATCGCGGTTTTGGCCGTTAGTTCAATTTAAAACTAATGCACACCCAAACAGCCATTCACTCCAAACAACACCAGCACCACAAGGAACACCTATTTTCCACCTTTATTATCGTCTAATATATTTTGTTTTTTTTTTTTCGACAACGAATCACTTTAAGCACACGAATAAAATGCATTTGTTATTTTTAAATTGTTATGACACCTTCTATGCAAGGGGACACAAGGAAGTATGCCTTATGGTGTGCAAACTATAACTCACAGCACTGCACACCCTTATCATTGTTGCGCTCGGCTTCATTTAACTTATTTCTATTATTATTTATTTATGTTTTTAATTTAAATTTCATAAGTCTTTTAGGATTTTTCTTTGCAAATTAGTCAGTTTTTTTTTATTATTTTTTCAACGCACAAATTCACTTTGAAGTTACATAAATTCAGCATTTTTTCGCAACAACCCGAGTCGGTTTAAATATAGCATACTTTTTATGCCAAGAAATTAGGTTTTTCTTAAGAGTTGACAAAGTATGCATTGATTCAAGATATATGTTCATTCAAATGTTTCTACATGACACCCAATATACCCACTAAATCACATCTTACTTCCAGTTTGGCTGTCTTATGTCGCTTACAGATTGTTCATGCAATGTCACTTGCTGTTTTCTCGCTATTATTATTAGTTTGAGCTATGACAAAAACGATTTAATTTCAGCACAGCATTTGGAGGATCGAAATTATAGTATAGCAAAGTTGATTTGGGAATAGAGCCGAATATTGCTGGTATATTCCTCAACTCGTCACAATCATTCTATCATTACTTTGAACGTACTTTTCTTTTGCATGTTAGTCAAATTAGTCATCTCATTATTGCATTGGTTGAGTATGTGTTTGTTTCATATGGTGTTCAAATAATTCGTGCCAATATTTGGCTGTAATTGCATACTTTTTGGCAGTTGATCTGAAATCGTTTCCCCGTCTATTCATTTATCTTTCTCTCTTACTCCATCTTTCCGTTCCCTCTCTATCTCTCTCACTCTCTCTTTCCCTTTCTCTTCCTATTTCTCTTTTGCTGCGTGCGTTCAGTGCGCTATCGCACTCAGCAACGGGTGCAACTGCAGCGATGGCGTCCGAGGCCTTTAAATGTTACTTCCGGCATTGATGGCATTGAGTATCTGTACATAAATCGAACATCGCGGCTGGAGGATATGCAGCCGACGTTGAACACTTCGATTGAGACCTTCAGCGACTATGATGCTAGCCAACGGCAGGGTCGCACCTTCACCGCCATCTCCGATTTTATCAACAATCTGTTGGGCACCTGCGTCTCACCCTGCACCTTGGAAGCCTTTCAGCAGAATCGCTGCTGCGAGACTTACATTATAGGTCCGCCTCCGCTTCCACCGCCACAGACGTGTTGTGTGTTGCCAGGGCCACCACGGCCCATACCACTGCCACCTCGGCCAATACCACTGCCACCTCGACCACGACCACCACCACCACCACCACCACCGCCGCCGCCGCCGCCGCCACCAGCGCCTTTTCCCTTGCCGTATCCGCTGCCTGGATCCGTGATTATAACAACGCCCATCAATTGCTGCACCGTCTGCACTTATACGTATTATGGACCGCCACCCTGTGGCCGCTTCAACTACAACACCAGCTATAATAACAACAGGCGTGTGACTATCTACGTTCCACCTCCATTCTACGGTCGCTGACTACCAGTCGAAGCTCGGAGCTGTGTAGCCATTAGGAGCCTAGTGTTAAGATACAGCACCTCATAGACTGTAATACTACATATTAATTCTCTCTCTCTCTCTCTCTCACTCTCTCTTTCTCTCTCTCTCTCTGGCTTTCGCTCTGTCTGTCTCTAAATCTCACCCACTCCCCGTGCTTTTTATTTGCTTTTGTAATCTCAGAGAGTGCTTTGTGTCAGTTTTTGGTGCTCGGGCTGTCAAAAAATGCGGCAAATAAGACATATGGCGTAGTGGCAGGAGTTGCTAAGAAGGAGTTGGGGAGGGTGACAAAAGTCCTGTGTCAGACATATGGGTATATGAAACTAGCGACGGGAGTTGGGAACCGGGAACCGGGAACCGGCAACTTGAATGCGCCTGCAACAAAATGAAGTTGTTGTGCCCTAAGCTAAAGCTAAGCCTACCTAATTTCTGGCTTACTTGATGCGCTATCTCTGCAAACAATTCATTTATCTTATAGGTCCAAATTAGATTTTGGGATTTCTTATTTGTGATATATACTCGTATGTATGTCTATATCAACATACGATGCCCTTAGCTAATTGCAGTTCACGTTTTTGATATTATGCTTTCTTTCACTTTCTTTATTTCCAAGCTATACAAAACATTTTTTTTTTTATTAATATAAGTTCCTTTAAAGAAACGTAAAAATCTCTGTGGAAAATGCAAGCAAGAACTTTTGATGCATTCTGAATAGTTTTAGATACGAATTTATAAAAATCTTGCAGGACTTCATTTTAAACTATAAGAGTTATTCAATAAATGAACGAATCCAAAATACTTTATTCAGCTAAGCAAATAAGCTTAATTTACAAATTATTTGATTATTATTTAATTTATTTTCTTCAAATAAACACAAAATACTGCTTGAATCACTCCAAAATTTGTGTTTTGGTAAACGTCAATCTTAAACCATGTGTTTATTTTAAATTTAACTTGCACATTTTGTTAGATGTGTATAATCTGTAGAGCATTCAGAGTTCATTACAAATGTTTACGTGCGTTTTGCGCCTTTTGCTATCCTGTTGCCTTTTGTTGTTGTCCATTTTTGCGATATGTATTCGCTCCTTTGTTGTTCATTTTTCTCGTGCCGTTGACTGTGCCGGTGTGTGTGTGTGCATTTTTGTCGGCTTTGTACACACAGTGAAATTTATAATAGCCTGTGCCCAGGACCAGACACAAGAACAAGCCCAAGCCGAATGCGAATGCGAAGCACAGGTCTCTGACAGAATCGCTGGCTGTCTGTCTGTCTGTCCACACACGACATGGGACATAGGACATGGGGCATGGGACTTGGGGCACGGGACACGGGACACGGGACACGGGACATGGGACACAGGACAGTGGCACAGGACACGTCACGTCAGCGGCACAACAAAGCTGATAACTGCAGGCACTGCGCCGTCAGATTGTGATAAGCACTGGCAAAACAAGGCCGACTCCACAAAGGCTACAGAGAGTCCCTGACCAGCAGGAGGAGGCGGAGGAGTTGCAGGAGGTGCAGAAGGTGCACGAGACGGAAGCAGAGAGCCCAACACATCGCGCGCCTTTGTCATTTCTCATAATGTTAATTTATATTCAGTTCAGTCTAAGCAAATAGTAGCACAAAAAAAAAAAAAATAAATGTATAAGCCACATGCCGAGCATGGCAGCCGGGCTGAAGATAGAAAGAGATAGAGAGAGGGTGTGAGAGAGAGACAGTTATTTATGTGGGGGGGTAGGGAGTGAAATAAATATGTGTTATGCTTTAGTTATAGAATTGCTGGTGGCGACGACGCGCCGGGGTTGCGGCTACAAAGCGACGCTCGTTGAAGACCTCTTGGCCTGGGGCAGCGCCATCTGTGGCCGAGTAGAGCAGTAGGGGAATCTCCTCGACGCTGGTCTTCTGCAGCTGGGCCGAGGTGCGCACTCCAGAGCGCACCAGCTCGTTGCTGGAGAGACGACGAGTGCTGGGACCAACAGCTGGAGCAGCTGCATCCGTTCCGGCAACTGTGGCGCCCTCTAGCAGCTGGGTATCGTCATTATCGTTCTGCTGCAATGGTGCATCCTCGGGCTGTGCAACGGCAATTGTGTTGGCAATGGGTGCGGCACCATCCTCGGTCTGGGCATCGCTGGCAATGATGGAGCTGCCCTGGAGCAAAGCCTCAATGTTCTCAACATTGGAGAGACCGTTGATCTGCAGCTGATCGTGCAGTTCGCTGGGTATGGCAATCGCCTGGACATCCTTATGGCCGGAGATGCCATTTGGTGTGGGTATGAACTGGACATTCTCGGGAATCTGATCGGTGGGGTAGACAGGCACCAGCTCCGCTTCGTTATCGTTGCTGGACTTGAGTAGAATCAATGAGATGGGCACAATCTTCTTGAACTTGAGCAGCACCAGCTTCTTGATGGCCACAGCGCCGGGAAAGACGCGTGCCTGCGGACCAACATGTGGCTTGGCAATCAAGCCACGCTGCTGCTGCTTAAAACGATGTCCAGCAATATGGCGGGCTAAAGTACAATTTTCATTTTAAAATGTAATTCATCCTATCTGGTGTTGACAAGCTACTCACCATCGCTGACGATAACCAAAACGAGGCCGATGGCCAGAAGGGTAAACAGTTTAATAGCCATTGGATTTGAGGATCGTCTCCGTTCTTTGTGTTCTGTGTACGTCGCTGGGCGAGTCAGTCTATTAAATGGTTTACTGTTGCTTAAGCTAAGACATTTTATAAAGGGTAGAGCCGCTCTCGAATCTTTCACTCGATTCTTTCACTCGGGTTATCATTTAAATCACAAACAAAAGAAATTAAGCGAAAAATTAGTGCCAGACAAGAAAACAAATTGAAAATGGACAACAAAAAAAAATAATAAAAAAAATAAAGCTGGCCAGTCAGCAGTGGCAAATGACAAAATTTAATAAACTATGCAAATTCCCTACATTAATTTATGCATTGTACGACGATGAGGGCTTTTTGGCTGCTTGCTGAACTGATTCGCCAAATGGACTATGGGCTGACTACAGACTATAGACTACAGTGTATGTATGCAGTCCAGTCAAGTCGTTGACCGCCAATGGCTGCACCACACTTGATACCACTGTTGGGCCGCAGTCTAGAACCGCATTGCCAATGCTATAAATGTGGCCAACAAAATCTCAGTGGAAAATTTGCATTTTAGGTCGTCAGAGCCAGCGAAATTTTACCAACGACCGAACAGAGAAGTCTAACATATTTTTGGGTCAAAAGTGAGATTTTTTTTAACCACATTTATAATGAAGCAACAGGCTAATGTAACGCATTTATCATTGTCCCCCATTCGGACATGGCCAGAGACCGAAAGCGACCCCAATACAAAACCTTGTTACCCGTAACCCGTAGCCAGAGCTGGGACTTTGCATTTCTCATGTCAGAGTTCGCCCAGCCCTCTCTCTGCCTTATCTCATTTTGTATTATTCGCACAGCATATGTATCTATGGTGTGGCATTGACTTATTAGTATTTCAAGCTGAGTTTCTAGCGGTAGTTCCCCATTACGAATATCTTTTATTTTGCAAACGATCCGATTTTCCATTTGATTAGCGAGCGCAAGTGTTCTGGTAGTTGAAGCTTGTCATGGAGGGTTCAAAATCAGCAGATGCATATCAAATCTCTTGTCCATGTACTGAAAGTCATCCAAAACTTTAAATTGATTTTTTTTTTTAATTAAAGGGATAAAATTAGATAAATTAATCTAATATCGTTGGAAGTCAAGAAAGAAACCAATTTAATTTTGTTGCTTTAATTTAACAAATCTTAATATACAGATTTATACAGCTTTACGAGAAGTAAAGAGAAATTTTTGTTATGTATGGAAAAATTTAAAACAAAACATTATGTGAAGTTAATTTGATTTATTGAAAAAAAAGTAATGCTAAATGGAAACCGGTAGGAACGCTGAAGTCGAGTGAGATCGACTACGATATACCCCGGCTGTTAGGTATTTTCTAGTTCTATTGCCCAATTTGCGTTTAAATAGATTTGCCAGTTGGCCAATAATTATATTACTATCGGAAATCGAAATGGATGGATATTCGGTAAATGGAGGCAGCTATCGATCAAATTAAGCAAACATGTTCTGCCTATGGTATACGAGAAATTATATATATATGTATATCTATATGTACCTCCAACTTGTATAGTCTGTGAGATATAATATAATATAATATAATATAATATAATATAATATAATATAATATAATATAATATAATATAATATAATATAATATAATATAATATAATATAATATAATATAATATAATATAATATAATATAATATAATATAATATAATATAATATAATATAATATAATATAATATAATATAATATAATATAATATAATATAATATAATATAATAAGGAAATTAACTTGAAAAAGCTTACGATATCACATGATTTTGACCCTTGTTTCGAAAGTTGAGTGACTTCGAGTAAACTTCAATACTTGTTTCTAAGTTTTAGAAAGGATTTTCAAACAATTTGACTTGCATTTCTACTTTTTATACTTTGATACCGAAGATAGCTGTATGAAGGCAACTTGTTTCAGCACATAGATATAGCGACTTGAAACTTGGAACATGCACTGGTCTATGCCAACGTTAGACAAAGTGTCAAAAATTTTTCAGCTCCACCAGGGGCTAGGAAATCGATAAAATCGATAATTGCAAATCGACAAAGCCATATATCCCAAAGTTTTACGGTTGGTAGGTTGCTGGCGATTCCCTTCAAAGATCGGCATATGCCACGCCCATTTCCACCGGCCCCATTCCTCCGCCCCTGGAAATGTTAAGTGGCTATATCTTCAGCAATTTTTGAGTTAGAGCCGTCAAATTTGATAGGTATATTACTGGTAGCCGCTTTTGAGAACCGCAAACAAATTTTTATAGCCACGTTCACACCTGAGCCCATAATCGCCAATGCCCATATTTCGGAAAGTGTAAATGGATTAAACCCCATATCTCCCACATTTTATAAAATAGAGTGACTAAGCTTGGAAGGTAACTTGCTGGTAACCTCCCTAACACGATACAGCTGTTAGTGTAAATCGATAAGACCGAATATCTCACACAATTTGAAAGCTAGAGTCACAAAATTTAAAAGGCATATTGCTAGTAACATTCTTCAAAAATCGTAACACTTTGAACCACGCCCACTCCCGCCTCAGAAAATGTTCGGTAACACCCACTCCTTCCCGCAAAACTGTCAAAAGCCTGTATCTCCCTCAATTTAATAGCTACAGTTACCATACTTGAAAGGTGGATTACTAAGAAAACCCATTTAACATTTTTTCTGGCAACGCTCACATGCGCCCCCAAAAGTCCAGAAATCTATCTAAATCTAAACTTGGAGGGCAGAATAGTAGAAGCCTCCTTCAATTCGGTATTTGTGCCACCTGTTATCAGAAAATACAAAATATATAAAAAAAATTCGAGAAAATCGTAATATTTCTGAGATTGTAAAGCGTTTCTAAAATTGAGAAATATTTTTCCTAATATTTATTTGGACGATATTGATTCTGCGTGTAGCCAATTTTACAATCATACTTAAGTCCGGTAAAGCACGGAGCACATCTGAATCCCATAGACCAACTTGACGATAACAACACCAATTATGATTTCCAATTTGGTTTCCGATACACGCGCGGAACTCTTTAACAGCTGTATTCATTTATACTCAACACTGAGTTTTAAGACTCATACAATGACGATCTCCTTCAACGAATTACAATTCGGGGATATAATCATACTGGTGTGCTAAGCGGAGATTCTTCCGCTATTTAGTTACGACTTTGCACAATCTCTTTTCAATTACGCAACCAACTAACGGAGTCCTTGACTTATGTCCAATTTGACACTACGATGATTGTTGGAGATACTGTTATCAAGTTTGTAGTGCGTTGAACCCCAACCCAATTATATATATGTATGTATATTCTAAATTAACACCGAATTCCGAGTCGATATAGCACTACTCGTCTGGTGGAATTTATCTTGAAGAAACTTGGGTACAATTAATGATTTAAGAACTACCTTAAGGAATTTACATTTCGCATATATGTGTTTTTTTTTTTTAACAGAAAACGCAAAAGGTGAATCATTAGTTAATATATATTTTGAATAGAAATTCGATAAGTGTCAACAAAATCTTGGCAGTCAGAAATCTTGGAATAGTATTCTCGCTTTGAATTCATTCGACTGACTTAAGTGCTGACCTTACCAGCAAAATCTGAAGTTATCAGTATCGCAGATCAAATTACTTTGCCGACATTGCATTTATTTTAACATTGTCTTACAAAATTGCAGAGCTACAACCGTTCGCATATAATATTCTGAACAGAATAATTTGTTTGCCTATATATTCTGACAGTTTTAACAATATTCTAGTATGCAAATTTCTTCTTTATTTTTGTGTAGGATTTGTAAGAATTACCGAAAGTAACTGATTGTCGAAACAAAAGCAAAACCAAAGCGATATTGGAATGTCTTTAAGAGACTGACCGCTGGCCTTATAGGTAGAGAGTTATTTATGAACTCTCATTAATTATGATCTGTGAAATAAAACAAAGAGGTTTGTGTCAACTATGAGATTTAAATATAGTTTGAGTCACAAATTTTCAACGGATCTAAGCTGATCTGCGCTATTCTCATGCCCAAAATAACTGGCCACGTTTCTGTTGTTGTTGTTGTTGTTTTTGTTTTTGTTTTTATTTTTGGTGCTGCTTTCCTGCTTTCACTACCAACTTACTTGGAGCTTGAACCCGTGAGCCGGAATTTGGGAGCAGTCACGCCCCAGAATCCCAGGTGCTGCCACTGACTAACAATTAATTTGTGTGCTTATGTGCAAATCTATTTCTTTATGGCTTTGTTATTTAGGTCCACTTCCAAAACAAACAACAACAACAACAACAAGCTACGTTAATAATTAACGTTCTACGTTAGCTACCACCTTTGAATTTATCTTGGCTTAAGGCGTATGCATGTTTATCTGGCAAAAATACTTGTGGCCTATTATGCGGGACATAAACCAATTTTTTAATAACCATATTATGCAAAAGAGAACAGCGAGAACAGAGAACTGGCCACAGATTAAGGTAAATGCGCGTCGAGACGCAATCTGTTCATTAGCTGGCTTGGGATTGGGTTGGGGATTGAGGACGGGATTTCTTGAGCTTGGGCCTGGATCTGAAATCGGAAAAGTGCCTGCCTTATGCTAATGGAAATACATAAAAAACGCATAAATACTCATTAGTAAGGTATCTGGTATATGCATATATATATACATATATACATATATATATATATATATATATATATATATATATACATATGTGTAAGTGTGTGTGTGTGTGTGTGTCAGTGTGTAAGAGTGTGCTTGCTTACGGCCCTAGAAGAAAGTTGCGCCCGCGTCTGTCGCAATGACAGGGTCACGACGGGGTCACAAGTATTAGAAAGTTATTGGAAAGTTTTAGTCTTTTTTCGGTTTTTTGCTTTTGATTATTGGGTACATTGTTAACGTTGTTCTTTAACTGGAACAATGATCAGTGCTAGCATTCATAAAGCAATAACAACAGCAAAAAAAAATGCAATTTGCAATTTGAATTAGTTCGCTGTGAACATTCAAAATCTGCCCAATACGAGTCGAACTGTTATACAATTAATTAAGCTTTTCGAAGCTTACACATGCTCCATGAATGTGCTTCATGAGCTTTAAGCTTATGGCGCAATTTCTATTTGAATGAAACGATAAAGTGATCTTATTTTCAGCTGATCTACTAAATATATTGCGGCTAAGAAAAATATTCACCGCCAAAAGAGAAGTCGACTAAACGATCGCTTGACAAGGAAATATTATTAATCACGAAATAGAGGAACAAAATGAAATCCAATATTGCTTGACTAACAGATGCTCTGCCCCCAAATAAAATGTATAGGTGTATTACAAATCTAGACCAATAATAAACTTTACTCAAGAACATATATACATGCATAGATGTTCCTGGATCGTACTTCTAATCAGTCAGTTAATATTCCTTCAAAATACAGTTTCCAACTGAAAAAATTCGAAGAAGAGATTAAAATCAAAGTGTAGTAAAAAACGGATTCCCAGTAATCAGTTAGCGCTTTGCTCATAATTCACTTCATCGTACAACTATTAGCTGTGGATGATCTGCTCTGGCTGATCCGCGGTGGTTGATCTGCTGCCGCTGAGGTCACCCGCTGGGTTAACGCTAGTTCTTGCGGTCAACGCAAGCCAAAAACAAATCAAACAAAAAATTAATTTACCGCCCAGCGGCAAGCAACGATTATTACTGGCAGATGAGCAGCACTCTCTCTCTCTCTCTCTCTTTCTCGCTCTCGCTGAAGCTCTCTCTTTCCCTCTCTCCGTGTAGCAGCCGCTCTCCGTCGCTGGTGAGTGTGAGGCAGACAGCGGTGCTGCTCTCTTGGTCAAATTGTAGCTGGTACATAAAAAGCTCAAGTCGGCGCGCACGCTCAAACAGTTGGCCAAAAGAAACGTCTGTCTGTGGACCAAAGCGAAGCGAACGGAGGGCGAATCAAAAGCAAACCCAAACAACTACGATAACAAGAACGATTAACGATTAGCGATTCACGATTAACGATTAACGATTGTGTGTTTGTGTGTGCGTGCGTGTCTGCCAGAGCGTGTGTGTTTGTGTGTGCGTGTGTGTGAGTTTGTGTTGGTGTGTTCAGCACACAGTTGTTAATCATTTTTGAGACATGGCCAAGCTTGTGGCGCAATGTATGCGCCTGGGCCTGGTTTTAATCCTGGCCGCAGCCGTGGCCCAATCCGAGCCTGTCAAGGCTGACAGCAACAAGGAGTCGGCGCCGCTTTCCCTGCCCATTGTGCAGACGAGCACTGAGTCGCCAATTGCGGACATGGCGCTGATTGGTAGGCAACAAAAATATACAAAAAAAAAAAGAACCTCAAACAAACCAAACGCGCCCTCAGACAAAACTAATGTCTAATGTGTTATTTATATTATTTTTTTCATGTGCTCCAATTTTTTTCTGTGCTGTGTGTGTAATGCAATGCTGCTTTGTGTGTTCACTTTGCGGCTTTGGCTGCTTTTGCAGAGGATGCCCCAGTGGTGCCCAAGATGCCCACAGAGAAGCCACCAGTGGCGCCAGTCAATGCCAGCGACACGAACATGAACACCAACAAATCAGAGTCCAGTCCCAAAGTGGATGAGAAATCGGCTGAGCCGCACACCGTTGCCGACTTTATTATTCATCCGTTGATTGCTTTCAAACCACGCCAAGCGACGCTGGATGAGTTGCAAGCTCAGGGTAAACAGGCAGGGGGAGGTGGGGGAGGTGCTTCAACCTCCTCACCCAGCACTTGGCTGTTCGGCAGCCCTGGTCAAGGCTTGGGCTCCTCCATCTCGACGCTTGCGGGATCCGTTTCCGGTTGGTTCAGCGATCGTTTGCCTGGCTTGAACGGCCTGGTAGATACACCTGTGCGTGATGGGACCAGAAGCACCACCCAACGTCCCGATATTGTAGTCCGTGTTCAGCAGCGTCCAAACAGAAGACGCGGTAACGGCAACGGCAACGGCAACAATCTCAACAACGGCAATCGAAATGGCAATCGCAATGGTAATCGCAATGGTAATCGAAATGGCAATCGAAATGGCAATCAAAATGGCAATCGAAATGGCAATCGCAATGGTAATCGCAATGGTAATCGCAATGGTAGCGTTAATGGTAATGGTAATGCTAACGCAAACGCAAACGGTAATCGTATCCAGCGTCCAAATCGCATCGACAATCATGTGGACTCTCTGGATGTGCAGGAGTATGATGATGACGATTACTTTGATAGTGATCACTACGATGAGGAGTTCTATGATGAAGAAGAGGAGCTGGATGACTTGCTCCTCCACGAAGACGATGATCAGTCATCGCTGGAGCATATCGACAATAATGCTGATGAGGAGCGTCAGCAATCCGCTGAGGAGCAGCAGGAGCAACAAGTCCAACAGCAGGAGCCAAATCAGAAGCGACGTCGCCCCGCTGAAGTGCAGTCGCAGCGACGCAAGCAGCAAACCCAACTGCAGTCGGAGTCGGCGTCAGCGGCAGCGTCATCTTTAGCGTCGCAGTCGCAAACGCAAACACAAACGCAGCGCCGTCAGCAGCAGCAGCAGCAGGTAGTAAGGCGTGGTCAACCGTTAGCTCAGCTGGAGCAAGAGGAGGAAGGAGACGATGACGAGGATGCGGATGTAGAGCTGGAGGATGACGATGATGAGGATGCGGATGCGGACAATGAGCAGAGCTTCTCAAATGTAGTCTACACACACACCTCACGTAAGTCGCCCAGCCAAACGGGCTTCATCCAGAATGGCCAGCAGAGCTTGATCAATCAGATACGTCGCTTCACCTTTGGCCAGACACCCGCTGAAATAAACACACAACTGCGCAAATCCCCCAACAGCCAGATACTCTCGAGACCCGCTGCTGGTGTCCGTCGCCCACAGCAGGCGACCCTGTTGGTCAATCGCAATGGCCAGACCGTGTATGTGGCGCCCGAGATGCTACACCTGAGTCCCGCCTACACCAACTATGGCTATGTGGCAGCCCCAACCAAGAGGCAGCGTCTGCCCGCCAGACCATATCCACAGCCACCGTTGACTGTGCCGCTGCGTCGCAAGGGAAGCCCCACACAATACATCACGATACCCTGGAGCCAGCTGGGTATTTCGTCGCCCGAACGCCAATCGGTTGTGTCGGTGGCCGAGGGCATGCAAGCGCAGCCGCTGATTTTGAACATACCCGAGAGTGCCATCAGTTCGGTGCCCAGTAAGAATGGCCAGAAGAAGAAGAGGAAGCGACCGACTCTGACGGCGGCAGCGGTGCCCCTACTTGCCGACGCCTCGCTGATGGACATCTTTCAGCCACCACAAATCCCCCCCTCACGCACCAGCTCCGGCAACAAGTCCAAGCCCGTACTGATTACCGCGAAGCCAGTTCAAGCAGGCAACGCTGCCGGTTTCCTGCCGACGCGCATCCGCCCCGCCACAATTGTGGAGAAAGCACCCGCCATGGAGACACCCATGGATTCGCAGTCGGAGAGCCAACCTCAAGGCCAGAGCGAGCAACAGCAGACGGCGGAAACGTCGCCAGTTGTGACCGTCGAGCAGCAGCAGATGCAGAATGCGGCGCAGCAAATGATGCCCGAGCAGGAGTTCATCATTGTGGGCGACGACAACGAGCCGGGTCTGTCGCGCCATGTGCAGCCCGTCTATGGGGATGCCCGCTATGTGTCCTATGACGATTTCCAGCCCTACCTTGATTTAACGCATCAGAACCGACGATTTGCGCTCCGCAAGGTGGGACGTGCTTTGGAGCCGGTGTCGGAGGACAATTCCTCTGCCGATTTACCCTCTGCCCGGGTCTAGTTCTACTAATATAACGAGAGCATATACTGATTAAATGAGAAAAGAAGCGAAAGAATTGAAAAAGAAACAATTATGAAAACAAAAAAAACCACATAAATGATTTTTAATCACAAAAAACCCAGTGTGCAAAAAATAAATTTTTTTTACATTTTTTTTCCCTTGTTGTTGTGTGTGTGTGTCGGATTCGTAGTCGAGTTCGAATTCGATGTCGTAGTCAAAAGTCGAACGTTCACAGATTGACCGAAAAATGCTAATCGCTGTGAACCCAATGTGAACTCCAAATCAAAAACCCGACTAGAAAACTGTTAATTATAAATATCTTCATTTTTTTTATTAATTAATTTTTTTGTTTTTTTTTTGTCTTCTTTGCTTCTTTTTTCGAATGTGATTTCTTGATTGTTATTCAGAATTATTGAATGCCGTTAATCGGCGTGCGTTGACCCGTCCAAAAAGAGTAGCATATTAATGAAGCTCGTGCGCTTTGACCCATTAAAATGAGCCAAAAGAAAGCCGGGTCATTTATATTAATGAATTCATAGAATTTGAAATATTTCTCAGCTATCAATAGAGCGTATGCTAAGTTCAAGGAACTAGTTATTCTAAAACGACTAACGGTGGTTTCTATAAACTAGGCTAGAGGTTCGTTTGGATTATAAATGCGAAGCGAGCACCTTATTTATATATATATATCGGATAGTTGTGACATCTGATTTCCAAGCCAGTTTCATAGCAGGCAGCCTTGAGGCTTAAGGATATATTAGAGTTATGTCTTCACAGAAGCTCTCCGTTAAAAGCTTTTACATGCTTTCAAAATTGATCAACATTCTACGAAGACTTGCGTAGCTTTTCAAAATGCTTTGAGCAATAAAAGTTGCATAGCAGGCAGCTAGAAAAAGTTTCAAAGTTCAAGCAGTCACATAGCAGACACCTTGAAATAATCAATTAACATAATAGTAGATAAAGATGTAAGTAATTGCAGTAGATCGTATGATATAAATGAAAGATATAAGCTTTTAGATGCCATAACGTCAAAAAAGAAGAAGAATAGCTAATAGTTTAAAATTAGCTGCACAACATTTTTATAGAAGTGTCTTCTGGTTCCCATTGAGTACGGTGGGAGTAGATGCCTCAATTTAATAAAAACAACTATGGAAACTGTCATTCAAAGAAGCACAACTATGTGTCTTCCTAGTTGTGAGAATAGCTGTAATTAGAAAAGAGTTTAATGTTTTTAGCAAAGAACGAACTTTCAGTGTTGTCCATCTACACGTGTTTCCAAATCATCAATTAGCTGCAATGTTCATTGCTCAGTTTTGGGGGCTTTCAATCACGGATAATCACTTTCCACTTAAAGCATTGAATCGACTACGACTTCTGCTTAGGCTTCGGTCTCGGTCTCGGTCTCATTCTCGACGTCGGCACTCAATACACAAACACACATTAACAGCAACAATAATATATTTCAGTTTTAGCACCTAAGGGCAACTACCAGAGAACTTCAGCATTCAATCACTGGCTCCCACTTGGCGTATGATAATGTGAAATGTGAAATGAAATGGAACGAGAGGCTGAGAGGCAGCTTGCCACTCGACTTGGACACATGGCTGGGGCCTCGGGTATTTTGGCTTGGGCTGTGAGGTACTGCCGAAAATTTGCATAATCATGCTAAGTGCGGCAAATTGTTAGAGCAATCAATGCGACATTATTAGGCCAACATGCGAGCACTTGAGCTCCCGACCCCATCGGCGGGAAGGCGCGACAAAGACCCAGTTGACAACATCATTCGTCATTCGTTAAGAACGAAACAACGAACAAACGACGACACGGCCCAAGTTGATGATAGCCTGCTGCTTCTGCTGCTGCCCCAAAAATGCTGATAATGATGACGATTACGAGGATAATGATGACAATTGAGCGCCTCCGGGGGTTACAGCTCCTCAATTAATGGTTGGATGCCATGTGCTGGGTTAGTGGCTTGTGGTTGACTGGTCGAATATTTCGCGGGGTGAATGATCAGTTAAGTGGCAGTAGTAGTAGGGGCCGGCAAGTGGCGATCAGCAATTTGGCTAAAATACACACGCGGTATTCGAAATTAGAAATTCATCTGAGAGAGACTACACACATTCACAAAAATGCGCAGTAACTGTAAATACACGTCGAAAGATTCATAATTCAATTTTGAATTTCTTTAGCTGTGCATATGCTTAAAGTTCAACGCTTGGCCTGTGCCTAAGCCAAATTAGTTGACTAATTCCATAGCTAATTTCCATTATGTGCCAACAATCATAAAAGAATAAACAAAATCAGCCAAAAAACATCAACTAAAAATGTTGAGTTCATTGCTATGTTGGCCATTTGGGTTTTTTTTCGTGCGTTGAACTTTCAGCTGGCCGAAGTCAAATACATATACGGCCACCAAGTCCAAGTCCAAGTCTAATTCTAAAGTCGATTTCTCCCCTACCTTCAATCAATTTATTAAACATTTGCTCAGCTTCTCAAACTGGATGCCATTTTGATGTCTATTCCCATTCGATCTGATTACTATTCACGGCATATGTTTTGCAGTTTTGACATTTGACACCGTTGATTTTTTACAAAAATTAAGAGGTCACAAGGCGGCGCAGGGGGCACCAGCTGCGGCACCTTTTTATGCTAATCTCATTTTAGAAATTTCTTTGGCAGTTCTTCTTCATGTTTTTCTTCTTTTTCTTTTGCTTTTTCTGATGACCTGTTGTTATGCGGATTTTGCTATTGCCAAGAGTCTCTTAAATGATATGTGGCTCTCTATTCAGGCAAATGCAGAATTTTTTAATTTTCTAAAATATTTCTTGAACATCATAAATATGCGCATACCTAATATTTTTATTATGGTTTCATTTGGCGGCTTATTGCTGATTATGAATCTAAGGAATTCGCTTGTTTTAAATCATAATTTATGCTCTTGATGCTCTTATTTAAAAGTGGTCTGCACATACCAAATTCGATGGCTTCAACTGTCCTATTCTCTGAGATCGACAGAACAGGAGAGAAAGACGAATGGTTGCTTCTGATGTGCCTGCTTAGACAATACTTTCTACTGAAGATACATCTTTCATTTGTTTTCTAGTTCTCATTTCAGTACGGATACTGCTATCATTCTAGCATTCTTTCACTAAAGTCTTTCGCTTTGAGAAATGCTGTGTGCTCAAACAACTACATATTTAGAATACCCTCTGCAAAAGAATAAGAATCAATTAAACTCATTTTTATTTTATAATTTTTATTATTTGCTTATTATTATTATTAAATATTATTGTATTTTACTCAACATTCTTTTGTGTATAGTAGTACAAAGTGCTCTTACTAAATGCACATTTTTATACGCTTAGGGAGGGCAATAGAATTTTGTCTAGATAAAGTATTTATATATTCTTGATAAGCATCTGAAAACGAGCAGATATTCACAGGTCGGAAATCTCATGATGATAGATACGATAGGTCAATTCCCGCTTGTGTTCTGGTAAGCTATGCGCCTTGCGTGCTTGCCTCGGCTCCAAGGCACCGTTCGCTAAACAAACTTGTTCACTTGATCGATATACTTAAAGTCGGATCGCTCGTATCGGTTAACATAGCGAGAATATCCAGGCGCGGAACAAAACTATTATGATTGTTAATACTAAATGCTAAATATCTGATTTGCCTACTATGCGCATTTTTTATCACATAGTTTCAATGTTTCTGCATACATATTCTCTGATGAAACTTCCACTACTCGCTTGCCGCGTTCCATGTTCCCTTCTTTGTATCTATCACACTCGAATCGCACATGAGCTTGATTGACCCAGCGACAAAGTACGCAATGAAATCTCAGCTGTGATCACAGCACTCGAACGTATATCAGAGTTTCCAGTTAGTGAAATAAATATATTATCAATAAAATAAGAGATCATCTCAGACACCATGTATATTCTCTGAAACTTATACAACTAAACAATTTGATGCTGGCATGTGCATCGAGAATATATATATATATGAATACAAATTCCAGCAACGAAATAGCAATATTATTAATTCAGTCATTGAAAATTTGACTTTTGTCTTAGTTGTCTGAGCTTAGATCGAGAATAGTCTTTACTTTATAATATGCTTAGGGTTCCATTAGTCAAAGTACGTATGAGTTTAGAACTGTGTGAATTAGTAATTGAAAAAATGCAAACCGTTTTTATGGTGCTATTTATATATATATATTATTCTTTGTGCTCCTTATAGGCTTTCGACAAATACATATGCATAGACTTAGCTATATTTGACGCAATATAAAAGTATATGCTAAATGTATTAATACACATAACAATGCAAAGTAATTGGAAATGACAGATATTGTATAGTTGGCTATTGCGAAAAACGAAATAAGAAGAATTTAATAAAACATAAACACTTGCTTCTAAAATCAATCACATATGTTTTGAGATAATTCAAAGATTGACACATTATTGTTTCTTGGGGCCATAATAGAAGTAATTTGGTGGAGATGGACAACGCATCCTGGCAGCAGCGCGCACAAATTAAGGACGATGAAATCGAAGTCAATGCAACGGGCAGGTTTATTAAGGGTTTCGTCTGGCCAAACATATCGATCGAGTTCTATCTGGATATCAGCATGGTCATCTCCCATATACTGTTCATCGCCATTACCATCGCCATATCGCGCAAGTGCTTGCTCCTGCAGCTGGCAAGGACGGCAAAGCACGCCTTCTATTGTGCCGTGGCTCAGGTGCTGTGCGTGAGCGAGGCTATGATGATCCGGAATGCGCTGATGCACACGACCTTTGGCCTGCTGGGTTGTTTACTTGGCTTCTTTGGCGTTGGTACCGAAGTCCTGAGGAAGCAGACTCACTTTCGCAGCAAACATGGTCGCTTTGGTCTGGCCGGATGTTTGCTGCTCTTCGGGAGTTTCTTCACTGGAATGTGGCTGCTGTTGCAGCAGCTGCGCAATGAGTTCAGCATCAGCTTGCTGTTTGGGCATCGGGTGTGCGGACTCTTTTGCTTCATGGCCACAATGGGCACGCTGATGTTTAGCTACAACACAGGATTCATGCATCACAATTGGCAGAATAATCACATTGCTGTATTTAAGTGCTGCACACTGATGGCAATGTTAGGCGCCGTCTGCTACGAGTATAGATATTTTGCGGCAAGTATTGCGGCACTGATACCCAATCAAATTCTCGACGCGATTTCAGTTTATGAACGGGATCGTCATCTGGGATAGCGGGCCGAATTTACAGACTAACCGTATTGCGGCTTATCATCATTGAAAAGTTATTCTCATTTTGCATTCGAGCGAGTTGAAATGGGAGTAATGATGTCATGCTCGAAGTCGACGACTTTTACTGCAGTACAGTCAAGAGTTCCTCCAATTCAGCTTAAATACTCAATTTTACATGCCATAAACTCAAAAGAACACAACAGTTTATTAAGAGCTCTATAATTACTCGATTGTAAATTTATGTAATTATTTTATATTATTCCTCTCTGAGGCTATTGAAATATTCATTTATATAAAGTAATTTCATTTGCGAAGATGCTGTTAAAGCGCTTCACAAAACACTATTTCCCAGCGGCCTTTGATGATTGTGGTTAGTGTTTTTTACCCATCAATTTGCCCCACACAATCACGGTAGAAAAGAGCAATTGTATTATTATTATTTCTACATTTATACAGGAAAAAATTAGATTTAATGCTTTAAGAAACTCATTTACGATGTGTATTACTAGTAATTGTTAGATGTCTTTCTAATAAGCAATTTATAAATTACATATTTGAAGAATTTTAAGATCTTGATTAAATCACATTTGCAATTTGGCTATTAAAATTGTTACATTTTTGGAGTTTTCAGAAACTATAACTGCTGTTATAAATAAATAATTTTATATGAGATCTTTATACTCAACAACACATTTGTTTTTTTTATTTATTTATATGAATAGCGATTTTGATCGTTTGCGCTAGGTGATTGAGGCACAACAAGTTGATTTGTGGCACAAGTGAAGGTGAAAAGTCATGAGGAGCGTACGAAGTGGCTAAAGCAAAACGACAACAGGTAAAGCGCCATCGTCGTAGCGTTTTTGGGGTTGGGGTTAGGTTAAGGCCAGCACTTGGGTATATGACCGAGCGACTGTGCCACGGCCAAAACAGTTGCCATACGTCGCTAGCTGAGCACTGGACACTGGTCACTGATCATTGAGCATAGGGCTCTGGGCCCTATGCTCTAAGTTCTAAGTTCTGCAGAGTGCTGGGGTTCATAGATCTTTGATTATATTGTCATTAGCGTGACTGGGTTCAAGTTTTATTTTGTGGCTGCTGTTTTGTGTTTTGTGTTTTCTTATTTTTATTTTATTTTTGTTGTTTTTGTTTTTTGTGTGTTCTGTTCTGGGGTCTCAGTTGTGGTCGGTTGAGTTGGTTATCGATGTAGTTTGGGTTTCGACCGCGGCTTTTGTTCCTTCTGCGGTCAGTGAACTTTGATCAGCATTTTTGGCCATCTTTCCACCAATTTCGGCACTTGAATTTATGCCGACTTCGATATAAGTATGAATTCGAAATGGATGCCGTTGTTGAACCTGAAGCTGAAGCTGAAGCCGTTTGCCATTCCATGGGCGTAATTATGTCAATGTCTAGAGTTATCTCTCTTGATTGTCTTTTATTCTCGTTTTTTTTTTTTTTTCTTCATTTTTTCTTTCTTTTTTTTAGCGATGCCACTGACTCTGTGTGAGTAGATGTCTAGAATGATTCTTTTAGTCAGTTGGCAGAGTTTCGTGGTTTCGTTTAGTCATTTCATCGATTTTGTTTTCCTTATTTGTTCGCTTGTTTGTTTGTTTGTTTGATTCTTGCTGCCCTCTGCCTCGAGCCAAGAACTTTTTGCATAAAAACCTAGCAGCTAACAGCGATTCTGTACAGTTCTCTTTAGAACTTTGCTTACAATTAAGTAGGACAATACGCAGCGCAGCAGACGCAGCACAGCAGACATAGTAAAAGCAAAAAGCAATAAGCAAAAGCAGCAGCAATAGCAAAATATTATATCTTTCTTAGCAAGGATCCCACGCACTGAAGCCATGTCCAAACTAGGTGCTCTATTCGTGCTCAGCTGTCTGGTGGGCCTGGCCTTGGCCTTGCCGGGTAAGTGATTATTCCGAAACTTTTTGTCCATCTTCCATCTTATGTGGTGAATTGCAATTGCAGAATCTCGCCTGCAGCAACAAAGACAAGTGCATCAGCAACAGCAGCAGAAGTTGCAACATCCTTATTTGTTTTTTAGCGTGCCACGTGGACGTGCCAATGCTGGGGGCGGTGCTGTGATGCAGGGCTTTGAGATTGTAGAGGATCCCGAGGACATGCACAACGATTCCGATGATGATGACGCTTATGACGATGATATGCCCGAGATGCCATTGCGCCGTCTGCAGCGTCATGACGATGATGAACTCAGCGATGATGATGTTGACGATGATAACGATGATGATCAACCGGCACAGCGCAAAGGTCTCGGCTTTGCACGCAATGGTCAACTGGTGCTGCTGAATGGCAGCAATCAAGACGTCGACATCGATGACGATGAGGAGCAGGACGATGATGAGCAGGACGATGATGTAGATGGACAGCTGCCCATGGTGCTGGCCAAAGCAGCCGTCATGGGAAATCGCCACAAGCCGAACGCAATAAATGGCAAGCAGCTGCTGAAGAATGCCAAGCCAACACAGATGATGGTGGCGAGAGATCAGGCCGGCGCCATTATGGTGCCCGATGGCATTATCGAGATCGAGGGCCAGAGCGTCGTCGATGAGAAGACGGGCAAGGCTGCTCTCCTCGTGCCACGCGCCGCACTTGATGCCATTCCCAATGGCGCCGTTGTCGCCCTCATGGAGCGCTCTTCCTCCTCCACTGGCGAGAATGAAGCCGGTGAGGAGCGCGCCAATCGTGTCATTGTGCGTCGCCGCAAGACCGGCGGCCGTCGCAATCTCCAGCTGCGTCGTCGCGCTGGTCGTCCCGTCCGTCGTCGTCGCGGCGGTCGTCCCGTCCGTCGTCGCGTCAACAATCGTCGTCGCAATGTGCGCGTCATCCGCCCCAATGTCAATCGCCGACGTGGCGGTGCCCAGCGTCGTCGTGGTCAGGTGATGTTGCGGGGCTGAGCAGCTCAGGAAAGCAGCATATAAATGTAAAGTATTATAGTTAAGTACTAAACGGGACCATCAAAATGCGGCAATTGATTACGATTCGAAAATAAATAAAATGTGATATGAAAATAATGCGAGATGTTTTCTTTTTGCAACAAATCCCTCCTAGTCTTTGAGTACACTTGTGTGTACTTTTTAATTGGATTTATTTTGTTGGGGCATTTGTTTTTCTTCTTAATAGTAGTACAAATACAAATAGCAATAAACTGTAATAAAAAAAAAAATAACATTTGTAATATTTATTTCCTTAATATTTAAATGTTCTGTATATAGTTCTTGTCTGCTTCATTTTGCGACAGTTGATAAAAAAAAAATCAGCTGAGAAAATAACATTAGAATTTTCGAACACTATTCTTTATTTGTTTTTTTTTTTTCACATTCTTAGCAGATATACGGGTATTTTAATTGCCTTTCTTCTCTTTATTATAACTGAAAAGATTCTACTGGGCGATGGTTATTAATAAGGCTAATGCTCTTTTGATTTTGCCTTTTGATTCGTTTAACATATTCTACATATTCGTCTGCATACTTAAAATGAGTTTGGGTTTGCGATTGCTCTTTTCTTTTTCAATCTTTTGGCTAGTAAAACCATTAACTGTTTTTTTTTTTTGTGGTTAGCCGCAAAACATGCATGATCGATTTGACCCAAATCTGCGCTCAGTTTACGGCAATGCTGCGTATACGCAATGTTTCATAGAGTTTTGTGTATTATCGACATTTTTCAACTATTTGGAAACTTACTACATTTTGTATATAGCATGTAAATAGAATCCTTGTTAAATCATTGTTAAATGCACTTTAATAAGAACATTGCATAAAGTCAATAGTCAATATTTTGTCGGGCAAATTAGAGCAAGATTAATTTATGTTAATAATTTAGTCTAACGCTATTTCTATTTAATAGAAGATCTTTGTGAAGTGCAAGAAAGTTTTTATCTCCCTGGTTTGCAATTGAGACTGAATATTATGCAGTTGGCTTAGTTAAGAATATAAGAATGCAATTTTTCATGTCTACAAATGCTTTGTCCATATGTTCATACTTTTCTATTCGGTATCAGAGTATATTGATTTTGTTAAATGTTCGTCATTCTGTCCTTTCTACTGTAAACTTGACACTTGGTACATATTCTCGTCTGTGCCTGAGTCTGACAAAGTTTAAAAATTTGATTGCTACCTAACTTACCCCAGATACTCCGCTTGTTTTCCACAGTTTCTAAGCTACAGCTATGAAAGTCATATGTTTCCCCCAATTTTATAGTTAAAGTTACCAAAGTTTAGAGTAAGAGTCACCAAATATAAAAGGTGCACTTATCCATTAACGCCTCACCGCCGCTAGATGGTTATTTGCCATACAAAAACACTGGTATCAGAGTATATATTTATTATTTGCTTTGAACATGTAATATAGGCAATTTGCAGGCAGAATCAAAAGACTACATGTATGTCAAAGTGAACGTGACGATTTTATTAAAATTTAAATTGGATAAGAAATGGTTATCAAATTTAGTTAGATAAACGGTGTAGTTGGTTGGAAAATAAAATTGCTAACTGCTAATTAATTGCGAAAACTAAGCCACCAGTGCAAAAGACTTAACTGTAACGAATCTAAAGCGAGAACAACAATAATCGAATAGAAATATATAAATCTACTCAAAACTCTTTCACCTGGGGCTACTAAAAATATATTTAGACGGTTCGTCGGTATATAGGGTGGCACAGTTAAGAGCTAATAATGCCGATAATCAATCATAGGCGTCTAAAGATAGATACTACGATGAGCTACAGAAGAGGAGAGATTCTGTACTTTTTGACCATAGTAACTTGACCAAAAGTTCTTTGGCCCTAGAGGTGTTGTTCTTGTTCTGTGTTCTATGCAAATGAGCATACCATAAGCGGCAAACGGCAACACGCCGGCTTTACCAATGGCCTCTTCACTTTGACCCGCCCGGGGCGATTGCGAGATTAATCACACCGGTGGTTCGGCAAGCAAAAATGCCACAAATTGGCGGATTGTAGAAGCAGCGGGGGTATGGGGGGCGGGGTTTCCTATTACAGAGTAATCCATCAACCCTCCTGACCAAGAATTTGTGCTTGATTGTTGTTGTTGTTGGCTTTAGTGACTGGTCTTAGTGGATGTTCAAGTGGATGGGTATATAATCGTGGTGCTCCCAACTTTTGTCAGTCAGTGGCGAGTGCCAGCTCAGAGCCAATAAGTCCCAGTCCCAGTTCCAGTCTCCTATCTCAATCCCAGTCCCAGTTGAGTCATCCTTCAAGGAACACTCATATTCATTTTACCACAATGCACGGCCTGCAACAATTGGTGCTGGCGCTGGTGCTAACGCTAGCGCATTGCACACCACCTGCAATCGGTAAGTCCCAAAATAAGGCACCTTTCCTGATCTTTGGTTGTGTGGAGTCAAAAAAAGTAACCTTTAATTGTAGCTGAGCGACAAGGTTCGAACTATCGCTTGGGTCTGCGCCAAAGCGAGAATCCGCATCCTGAGGGCCGTTTCTCGCAGGCAATTCTGGACAAGTTCGTGAAGGGCACTACGGGAACTACACCATCTTACACCAGCTCTACCTCGCCTACCACTTACACTCCAAGCACCTCATACTCACCAACCGCCAGTCCACCAACAACAACATCACCAGGAACAGGAACAGGAACAGGAACGGGAACAACAGCACCAACTGCTTCAGTAGTACCAGCAAAAAGGGCAATAGAGAATAATGATAATAATGATGGGTCCCACGCACATAATGCACGTGACTACGCCGATGGCGTCGATGACGATGAGGATGAGGACAGCAGTGCCGGCAACGATGACGCTGACGATGGCGATGACGATGATGGTGATTATTTTATGATCGCCGCCGAAGGTGGTGCTGCTGCTGCCAAGCCCTCAGCTGGTGGAGCTGCAAGACAGCGCCGGCCAACTGAGACGCAGTGGCGCCAGTATCAGCAGGATCAGCGCAATCGCCGCCAAATTAATCGTTTGCAACGTCAGTATAATCAGCAAATCCGTAATTTGTTGCGTCGCCAGCGTCAGTCGACGCGCCGCAACTCGCAGCGCATTCAGCGCATCCAGAGGCAGAATCGTAGACGTAGCGCCATGCGTAATCGCCGCAACAGGAACAGGAACAGAAGCCAGAGGCAGCGTCGTCGCCAAAACAGTTTACGCCGTTACCGTCGTCATCGGACGCAAAACCAGCGTCGCCGTCAGCGCATGAACCAGCGTCGTCGCATCCGCCGGCTAATGCGCCGTCGCCGTGGACGCAGCAGCGGTAGGATCTTGGTCGCCTAAATGGTAATAGGACAACTATTCGATTCCGATACCGACACATTAATCCACATCCGCATTCTTGAACAAATTAACAAATGCAATGGCAGCTAAAAAAGTGCCTCAAATAAATATCTTTTTTTTTCAACAAAATCTCAAAATCTCTCAACTGAATTGACAATGCATCGGGGATCTGGAGAAGCATGGGAAGCAAAACTTATAATCTATAGTTAAGAGTCTTGACTCACAATATTTTTATTTGCCTTAAGGATAGCAAGATTCTTCTTAATAGAAACTGTACACTTCACATGTGATATTGTTCTATATTTATTGCCGTTTTATTATCATCATGTAAATGTCCCTTAAACCTCTTCTAATTTGTATTTCAGTTGCATCTCAAGTTCATTGCTGCAAATATTTGTCATGAAGGAAACGGAAATTTCATTTACGATTTCATATTCATAAAATGAATAATTCTTTCATTGCATTTATTTTGCTTGCCGAAAACTATCAAAATCAAATATCTATAAAATATCATTTGTATTCAAATATTATTCAAGTTGCACATTCGAATCGGACGATTCTCCAGACATGGATATTAAATATAAAGATTTTTTTTTTTTGTTGCGAAGTTTTATTTATGATTGCATTGTTATCATTGAACTTATCAAAATTATGGAAATTGCATTATGGCAACTGATCTGCATGTTGATCACTTAAGGACCGAATAGCACAGTTTGGTTTCGGTTCATTGACTCTGGGTTACACTTTCGCCCTTAAGTTATGTCTTGCATTTTGGCAGCGCTTAGAATTTCTGTTCAGTTCTGGCTCAGAACAAAAGCGTCGGCCATATGAATATGCTAATGCGCATCGATTGATTCGCAGATCCAGATCCAGATACACAGCTACAGCTATGCAAATGTCGTGGCGAGCATGGCTAGGGTTATCAGGTTGTTGTGCGAATGGTCAACTTCAACATTAATTTATGGGATTATGCAAAATGCCTTACAACTTAAGGAGACTGCCTAATTTCTTTTGCTCTACTCTGCTCTGCTCTCTCTCTATATATAAATATATATGTATATATATATATGTATATATATTTATTTTTTTTTTTTGTTTTGCAATGTAACTCTGTTGTTGGCAACTAGAGCTTGGCCATTGGGTATATAACCCTGACGGCCCATTGGCATCGGCACAGTCAAGCAGCATTATTGCCTCAGGCAAGCAGCGAGGCCGAACAAGTCAAGATAAATACGGGATTTATATAGGGATTACCGAACAAGGACATCGTTGTTATCACCATCATGAGATTTCTAACTTGTGCGCTTCTTTTGCTAGCAATAGCAACGTTGTCCCATGCAGGGGGTGAGTACAAAGCAAATAATGACCGGAAAGTAGCCCCAAATCAATCCACAATTGCAGTTGGACGCAGAGAGGATGCGGAGTCATCGCAGCAAAGGTTGCACCTATTCAAGCGTGGATCCCAAGCTGAGGGACGAACTTTCAATCTAGGGCAGAAGGGCAACTGCGAGACACAAACGACTACAGCTCCTGATTATACTATAACCAGCGGCACCACTACACCAGTAACACCACCAACAGGCACACCACCAACAGGCACACCACCAACAGGCACACCACCAACAGGCTCACCACCAGCTAGTCGCAGCTTCGATGACGACGAAGAGGAGCATGCCGATGATCCTGACGATGACGATAATGATAATGATGATGAAGATGAAGATAATGACTTCGAACTGGAACTCCATGCCAACGATGACGAATTGGAGGCTGTCAATGGCTTTCGCCTCAATAGCATTAACCGTCCATCGCGGGCAAACAACAACCAGTTGTCGCTGACCTCTCGCATGCAGGAATACGAACTGCGTCGCGAACGGGAGACAAACAAGATGCTGCGCCAACATATCCGGCAGATGCGCCGCCAGAACAGGACGAATCGCCGTATCGCCCGCAATGCTATGAGACGCCAGCAGCGCGCCAGCCGTGTCAAACGTCGCAACGTACGCCGCAGGAATCGTCGGAATCGCCGCCGCATGAACAGGCGCAATTTGCGCACTCGTCGCCGCCAGAGAAGGAATCGCAATCGCAATCGCAATCGCAATCGCATTTTTAATTTTTAAAATGTCCATATTGACCAATTGACCGAAATAAATAGTGCATGAAATAAATCGATTTTATAATCAATATAGCGCACATTTGATGTGCAGGTGTTGACTTGACGAGCTTGAAGGCCTCTTTCACAGCTTTCTGGCAAAATGCATGTTAGTAGACAAACACTTGCCCAATTACCGCCTCGATTCATTGGCAAGTTTCAGCAATCGACACACTGTAAGCACATTTAAAATACAAATTCATTAAGGGCATAATAGTCTTCTGAAAACCTTGATTGCAAAATTGCAAGGTCGATTTTTATTTGTAATTTGTTTTTATAAGTACATTTTGGAAATAACAGGGTTTTTAATGTATGACACCAAACATTTTTATATAACGATATTTAAAATGTAAGCTAAACGAACGAAATCAAACTGGACATCAAATTATAGCGGCTTTTAGCTTTAATGGCTATAGGACAAGTGCGTTCGTTCACTACCATTTTTATTTCCAAATGCTGCTTCGATTTTGGCTTGGGATTTGGGATGATCTGGACTCCAAGCAACTTGTCTCTTTCCCTTATTTTCTTTCTCCTCGTCGAGAGTAAAGCTCTTGCAGAAGTTGCATAATATTGATAGCAGATCTTGTTACTCTCTAACCTAATTATAATGTATTATGATCAATTTTGAAGATTTGTTATGTCATTTTATTGTTTGATCCTTTTCACCATATACATAAATATGTATCCTTTTACTTATCAATTTTGTAGCTACACTTAGAAAAATATCGCCCCAAAATTTAATTTATTTCATTCATCAGCCTGACTGCTATCATCGTCTTCTTGTTTTTGAGAACAATTTTTAGATGTACGAAATAAAAGTCTTCAAATTAGAAATTTGAAAATTTTTCAGAACTAGATTTCCATATTATAGAAAATATATATAAATAGTATAAATTATTTTTAATAAAATAATAATAAATAGTAATAATAATTAATCTCTCGATTGCTAAGCGAAGAGAAGCTGCTAAGTTATTTTAAAATTAATTTATAAAAATTTATGAACTAAAATGTTTGTATCGGTGAAATCTTAAAATACAAATGTCTAATGATAGTATTCGGAACAAAAGGAGTTAAATGTGTACACATATAAAAAATATTTTACTAATATTGCAGAAAAATGCACCCTGGAATTAATAATGGAACAACACTGGGCTTTTGCAAAACTCAAACTTCAGTTGTTGAAATATGCATTTTGATTATTTACCCTTGAATAGTTAATATTCTATATTTATATTTATGATATGTTTTTACGGTTCTCTACATTTTTATCATTTTTCAAGTATTTGCTCAGGTAAAACCTATTTAAAATCCAAAACGTGCTTAACAATATTCTCATAGCATCTGCAGCTAAGTGCACCTTAACAATAATTATGTTTTTATAAGTGCATATTTATTTTTAGGCCAGACTAGTTGTTACATGTGTGGTCTGCGTTTAGGCCATATATGATATGTGGTTCGCCTGAGGCCTGTTCTGTGTACACCTTTAACTCAATTGACTTGTAATTAGAAATTAAATTTTCAATGCCCATCACATAGTTTCCCCATTTTTTTATTATTTTTTTTTTTTAACAGCGAAGCATTGACTAATTGAAATTAGATGATGACAGCAACAAGTTAGTGGGGTTCTCTGGGGGTGCGAATGTGGGTAACTTCAACGGGGAATAGTAGTAGGTAAGAACTCCATTGCCAAATGAGCGAAACGCACATAGAAAGCAGGCAAAAGCCAGGAAAGGTAAATGGAACGCTTCACTGGACTGCGATGATAAGCAGAACAAGAGTCGGACAGCAATGATGACGGTGGAGAACTATTGGTCCAAGCACTTTGATGGTATGTTCAAATAGCTGCAAGCGCTTTACAGACTTTTATTTGTATTTTTAACTGAAATTGAATTCAATTGTGGACGTTTCTGACTGATAGGCAGGTATATCTAGTGTAGTGAACGACTGAGAGACAGAGACAGAGACAGCGAGAGAGAGAGAGAGACACAGAAAAAATATTCATATGCTAGAGTATACACATACACACACACACACACACACACAGCCACATTGATCCCTAGGCCATTTACAGTTAGAGCCCAGTACTTAGCCCAGCCGTTAGCATATTGCGTCGTCGCCGCCGTCAATTGCGGGTATAAAAGGCATTCAATTTGCGCGATAATGTATCAAACATTGATTATCGATCAGTGTGAGAACACGACGAAACTAGCAACGACGGCGAGGACGACAACTTCCACATCGAGCAGCACAGATAAATAGAAAAGTTCTCATTGGTTGAGTAGTTTCTACAATGCAGTCGCATCAAGTCGCATTCTTGCTGCTCTTAGGCAGCCTTCTGTGCCTGAGCTTTGGCCACAGCAGCGCTCGTCACAGCGGCCGCAGCTCCTACTTCAACGAGCCAGCTCTGGCCCGCTCCAACGATGGCAATGTGGCTGTTGCCCTCGAACAGGGTGCCGATAAGGATAAGCTGAATGGTGGTGGTGGTGCAGCAGCAACTGTTGGTGCTGGTGGTGTCGCACCCGGTGTTAGCGGCAGCGCAGTTGGCAATAAGGATGCCTCGAGCGGTCGCCTGTTTCTCAAGAAATTCCTCATGTTCAAGAATTTGTTCAGCAGCAACAATCAGCCCGTGATTCCGATTATAATTACCGGAGCTGGCACTGGAACCGGTACCCTTAGCCCCAGCAGCCCCACACAGACCGTGACCTCAACTGGCACAGTGCCGACGGCCACCGGCACAGTGAGCTCACCAACCTCACCCACATCACCCACATCACCCACATCACCCACGGCAGCCAATTCTCGCCAATATGCGCAGGATGACGAAATGGCCGATGACGCCAATGAGTCCGAGGTGCAGGGTCAATCCGCCAATGCTGAGCTGGTCGATGAGCAGGCACTGCAGGCAGCTTTGGCCGCTGGTGCACAGGAATATGAAGTATATACCGAACCCTCGGAGCAATCGGAGTCTGGAGCAACGGAGAGCAAGGCAAGCCCAAATAATCGCATCAATCTGCGCCGCAAGGGCGGTCGTCGCGGCCAGGGACAGATGATTAGTGTACGCATACCACCCCGCTATCGTCGCTACTTCAAGAATGGCCAAAAGGTCATGCTGAACACAAAGAGTCGGCCCAACAAGCGTCGTGTGATCAGGAGGCGTGTGCAGACCACCAAACGCAAGCGCTTCAACAATCGTCGTCGCGGCGGAAAGAACAAGAACAAGAAGGGCAAGGGCAAGAACAAGAACAAGCGCCCACGTATACCAGTCGTTTAAGAATGACAACAGCAAAGAGTCGCGAGCCACCGATAGAGAGAGAGAGAGAGAGAGAGAGAGAGAGAGGGAGATGGAGAAACAGGGAGCTCGAGCAAAAACGACGCACAACAGCAAAAACAAACAAAAAACAAAAAAAACACACACACAAATGCATTTTTTTTTTTTGTAATATATTGTAGCTAATCTTAATAATTGAAGTCGCACATCTTTTTGGCCAAAACAGAATAAATGAAATCTTTCGTATGGTACTTGACACACATTTATTTTATTTGATTGCTCAAGCATCCTCCACCTTCTCATCCGCCTTCTCCCTACTGAAGTGATCGTGATGTGGCAAAACGAATAAAATCTGTACACCGAGGCGCAGAACTATTTAAGCCGTTTATAGTGTTCGTCAGCCAAGTGAGTCCAACATGTACTGTGCACTGTGCTGCATGTTGTTTACGCACGTCTTGCTGCTCGCTCTCACTGTGCGTTCGGGTGCCGTTCACTGTGGCAGCAACACAAAGCAGCTGCGATTGCGCAGCACCTCCAATGGGCTGAGCAGCGATGAACTCGACGCCGCGCCGCAGCAGCTAGATCTGAGCCAGCTGAGCGAGTCGCAGCTGCAGCAGGTGATGCAGCAGCTCAATGTGGCCAATGAATACGAGGAGGACAATCGTGGCAGCATTCGTCCCTGGAACAAGGTGCAACGCATAATTAGACGCCAACTGGTGCGCATACCCAAACGGTATCTCAAAAAGATCCTCAGGCAGTTTGGACTGGCGCGCAGCGGCAGCAATAGCATCGGATCGCTATCTAGTGGATTAGAGCAAGCGGATCGGGAACTTCAGCTATATTACCTAATACCGCTTGAATAACACTAAAAAGCTATAATCGACTTACGTATGATAACAGCATTAAACGAAAGGCAAAAAAGCAAGTTAATTAAATGTTGTATAATATCAGATCTGATTATGTTTATTTATCTTATTTGTTATGCATAGTATATAGAAAAATCCATATAAATGCAAAAACTCATGGGTGCTGTGACAATTAGAGATATAGATTATTATATTATATATGTTGCCATTCGAGATATCGATTACTTTATAGTATTTGCTAATATAGTTACAGTTGGCAAACTGACTGCAAGACTGCTGTTAACCAGCACTTTATAGCAGCGTCCTCTGAAATACCAGTAGACAACAGCATTTTGCTGAGATTTTTTCCCGTACTTCTCAACCAAGTATTTCTCGGCACCTTTGAGGATTTATTGCGTATCGCCTTATCAGCTGGAGATTTATTAATATGCTGTTTTATATATATATATTTTTATTAATTATTCTTATATATCTCTGTCCACATTGAGAATTTAATGTGTATCGTATTATAGAGCCTTATGAACTGAAAGTACGGTTTATCATCATCAGCCTGTTACAGATCCACCAACGAAATTTTTTTACAAATATTTCTGAGTCAATTAATTTCCCAGATATTTTATTTTATCCGTTTGTGCAACGAGATCTAGAAAATCTTGCGATTGAAATAGAAGCCAAAATAGAAGCTAATTTAAAGAGTGGGCAATAAAATGTTAAAAAATATTTCAATTGTATTAAGACCAAAAATCACATTCATAACTGACAATAAAATTATAGATCAACTGCTATATTTCATAATGACGAACAGGTTCTTTCCCAACGCCCTTCTTCTATGATTATATTGGCCTAGGATATGTTCGTCAAATTGCTTAAGGGGAACGGTGGGCAAAGTATCGATTCCCTAAACCAAAGTTGTAACGTCACTTCCAAGGTCATTTAGTGACGCCGATGTAGTTCAGTTACATCTCGTGAGTAGAATGGAATATAGCCATGATTTCTTGACCGAAACCAGTATGGGCTCTCATATTACTGATGCAATCAGATATTTAGTCAGTACAGAACTGTAAAGGAAGCACCAACAATTCAGAGGTAGAAAATATATATATACAAGTATAATATAGAAAATGTCCCCATTTTTACGCCAAGTCCAGCCCAAAAAAGAAATGCACAAAAACCTGTATCTACCGCAAAGGGCAAGCTGAAGGATAAATTACTAGGAACTTCCTTCAAAGATTGGTACCACCCTGCCCTGCGGCACCTGTTACCAGATGGTATCAGCATATTTCGCTGTCGGTTAGGCCCGACTGCCACGTTCTCTCTTGTTTTCTACTGATATTCCTAGTAATTTCTTTATTTAACACTTGTTAATTATTCAATATTAATTATTAATTTTCGATTGTATTCGAAACTATTTAATGTTGTATATGCTTAGGCGTCCTCAAAGTTTGGAAATGCTTACGGGTGGCTGGGTGTTGGATTGTCAGACTTGCTTCCTACCTTTCATTAATTTATTTTTGTCATTGCTAATTAGATAATGAATATATATATACATGTATATTAATTAATTTATTTTTATTATTATTTTTTGGCCGGCAATAGTGTGGAGCAAATACATAACATATGTACATTTAATTACATACTTTTGGGCTTGTTGGATGCAAATGAATTTTGTTATAAGGTTCAATCGAAAAAAGTTTTGCAAAAATAATAATAATTTTGAACAACTTGTACCTACACAATTTTATAGTCAGAAAATGCACAAAATAAAACACTTGTTGAACACATTTACGCGTAGTATTTTTTTTTTTTGGGACAGCTGATCGCAGTTATGATTCACATCAATTGCCGGCAAATCAGCTATCTCAGCTCTGGTCACACTGCCACTGAACCGCTGCGTAGGTGGCGTGTTATGCTTAGAATTTCCCCTGCAAGTTGCTGGCGCTGATTAGATTTAGTTCCCCAAATATATATAAGCACACACACACACAGACACACACAATGGCAAGTGGATTATTGGCTGGAAAGGTGGCATTTGTGACAGGTACGTAACTGGGCTAGATTTAAGTGGCCAATTTGGACGAAGTGTGTGAACAAGAAATTTGTTGTTTTCAGGCGCCGGCTCTGGCATTGGTCGTGCCACCTGTCGCCTGCTGGCTCGTGACGGCGCCAAGGTCATTGCTGCCGATCGCAATCTGCAATCGGCTCAGGAGACGGTCAAGCAGCTAATGGTGCCCGCTGCTGCGGTCGAGGTGGATGTCTCCTCGCTGCAGAGTGTACAGAGTGCGGTGTCCGCAGCAGTGGCCCAGTTCAAGCAGGCGCCAAGCATTGTGGTTAACTCGGCGGGCATCACCCGCGACGGCTACCTGCTGAAGATGCCCGAACGGGACTACGACGATGTCTACAGCGTGAATCTGAAGGGGACGTTTTTGGTGACGCAACAGTTCGCCAAGGCGATGATCGAACAGCAACTGACCAACGGCAGCATCATCAATCTGTCCAGCATTGTGGCACGCATGAACAATGTAGGCCAGGCGAACTATGCCGCCACCAAGGCGGGCGTCGTCTCCCTGACCGAGGTGGCCTCCAAGGAGTTTGGCAAGTTCGGCATACGTGTCAACTGCATCCTGCCCGGCTACATAGACACCCCAATGGTGGCTGTGGTGCCTGACAACATCAAGCAGCAGGTCGTGCAACGCTGCCCCCTCGGTCGCCTCGGCCAGCCCGATGAGATTGCCGAAGTGATTGCCTTCCTCGCATCCGAGAGGTCCTCCTATGTGAATGGTGCTGCCATTGAGGTTACCGGCGGCCTCAAGTGAATATTAATCAACCCACTAACAACACCAACAACAACATAGTTAAATAACTTTGCATTTATTTGTTGTAGATCTACAATTAAAGAAAAACGTTATTGTTATGTGTTTTTGTTAAATGGATAAGCTTTTTGGTTGATCATCGCTCTCAGTTGCGCCATCTATTCGCGATCTTTTTGATCGAACGCTTATACATGCGCGCCCTCTATGGGCGCGCTTTTGGCATAGCACCGGACCCAACTTGTCCTCTTTTTCTTCAGAAAATAAAATGTTTTTTGGCTTATCTAAATGAAAATTAACTGTAAGTCAAAAAGGAAAAATTTCCTTTGATTACAAGTTATTCATGTTTTTTTTTTTTAACATACAAGATAGAGTCGGAAAAAAAGTTGCTCTAATTTTGCTTCGATGAATATATAATTGAATAAATTAATATTTTTAAATAGGTTTACATCATAATTGAAAAAGAAATAAGCAACTGAAACTTTTCTAATTCCTATTTAGAAATAAGTTGACCACCAAATTAATTACAAATCTAAAATAATAATCTAAAAATTGTGGAATTTTATACCAAGGCTTTCAAGCCTGCACGATTTGCAATTGGATAGCTATTAAACTAAACAAACGTTTTCATGATTATTGTTATGATTGTAAATTAAAATGCATTCAATTTCAAATGGAAGTTCGTACCAGAGTAGTACTGCCACATGTGGTAAGTATCGATTGCAAATGCGGCACGAGCTGAAGATGGTCGATGGTCGATGGTCGATCGTTGCGTTGCCATTGCAGACAACGGGAAACAGTGTCGCGTTTTCCAGGGGGGTTCGCGGGGTTCCCGCTTCGTTGACGTTGTGGTGGTGCGTGGTGGCTCTGCACAATGGTGGTGGTGGCCAACTACCAAAGTGTACAATATTAATATATTTCACAATTCCCAAGCTGCTAATTAACTTGGCCTTGCCAACACACACACACACACACACACACACACACACACACACACACACACACACACAGAAAACGAGCATGTATAAATGTGTGTGTGTGAAGGCATATATGTACATATATTGGTGGGCTTGTTTGTGCCACCACATTCGGGTGGGTTACGCCTGTGGTCTTGCGTGCAATTTAAATAATGAAGACATTTTATTAATTCAAGAAATTCAACTCGCCTTGCCACATTCACACACACACACACACGCACACACACATACACATTCATGCTATTACGCAGAACGGGTCGCCAGGACATTAAGCAACATCAGCTCAAGACCAAAAGTTTCGGCCCCTCGTCCCCGTCTTGTTCATTCCACTGTGGTCTACTTGGCGTGTGTGTGTGTGTGTGTGTCTCTGTTACGTTCTGCCCATTTCGTTTTTAGTGCATAGTGAAAAACAAAACATTTCCTAATCATATGGCCAAAGTCGCAATCCAACTGAACACGCATATAAAACAGACAACACACAGAGAAAGAGAGAGAGAGAGAGAAAGAGAGAGAGGGATAGGGACAGAGTTGGGAGGAGGACCCCTCAACCCCTCCGTCCCCCACCCACTCCTTGTGACTGTTTGCCTGCCTGCCTTCTCACCATAGCGTTAACAATTAACAACACAACGACAACGACAACAATGAGAGCCCAACGCCTGCCAGTCACTTGAGCCATAAAACAGCCCAACGCGGCCGAATGACGACCCCAATCAACCCCACCCAGCCACTGGCACCCCACTAGCACCCCACTACCGCTCGTAGCCACAGCCCACATTCACATCCACATGCACACCCACGCCAGGCACAGAGAGAGAACCACTCGCCATATCTCATGTTAATGAAATCGTAACTCTTCGTGCGACTTGTGTCCGTTTTTTGTCTCTGCCGCGTAGCGATGACGTGCTCGAACTCAGGCTCCAACTTGCAGCTGTAAAGGGGCTCCCAGGAAGCCAGCTCCAAGTTAGCAATATGTGCACTGCAGCCGCCTATTGTTCATAAAAGTGTGCTAGAATTGGTCGCGGTTGTGGGGTTACGGCTGGGGTTTCGACTGGAGCTGAGGCTGGGGCTGGGGTTGGGGCTGGGGTTGGGGCTGGGGCTGGGACAGCTCACCACCGGGTGGGTGATTAACTCAGAACTCTACTAAAATGCGAGTAAAACCACCATATATAAAACAAGCAAGTAGCGATTTTTTAGTTCACAACTGCGAGATACTCTGTAGACAGCTTACTGCGGCAAATACTAGAAAGATGTTTTATAAAATGTTCAATAGAGTGGATTTACTTAATCTATTTTCTATTATTCCTCTTTTGTCAACAACCTTATGTTCAGCATACTCCCTTTGAAGATGTTTTATGATACATTTTAGATGATTTTTTGTAATTTAATTTTTTGCATCAAACAGAAATGGAGAAATTGTGCAATACATGGTTAATATATATAAAAGAGTATATTTCAAGCTCAATAAACAGCACTGCATACTCTTTGGGCAAAGAAAATGTTCTACACTCAAAAATGAACCATATAATAAGCATACTCTTTGGCTGAAAAATAAACTCTGACGAGAAAATCAAAAGTTCTAAGGCATACTTCTATGTGAAGTCTGTCAGAAAAATTCGTCTCACTCGAAAGGACAAGCCATCGATTGGTATTCAAGGTTATTAGGGTAATCTAAGAACCAAACATAATAATAATACATACGAGACATTTGACATTTGACATCTTGACTTACCGATTTCTTAAAATGTTTTCCGACTTATACCGTTGTAAAAATGTTGACCGAAAGTGAAATTGTTCTGAAATTCTGAAATTTTGGAATAGTCGTTCTTCTTGTAAACTCAGCTATGCGTGTCCTTTCGAGATCCCTGGCGATATGACCGAGATATGGCTAATTTAGAATGTTATTTTTATTAATACAAACTCCATATCAGTCGTATTGTTGCATAAATTCTTTCCCAAATGCAGTTCACGTTTTTTTCTTTTATATATATATACATATATACACACACACACACACACATGCATATATGTGCTATGCGTGCGCTTGCAACTCGCGATAGTTTCCACAACAATGTCAAGCCAATTAACACAGTAAACCGCAATTGCAACTTCCGACAACTAAGTGCACGTAGTGCTCGTATAGTTTTCACCCCACCCCTGCCACTACATGTATGTGTGTGTGTGTGTGTGTGTGTGTGTGTGTGCTTGGGGGGAGGTGGGCGGTGACAGGTTGCTAGCTGGTTGGGAGGCTGCTTGAGGGTCGTTTGTGACAAGGGCAACTAATTTAGTTAAATGGGCGCGCTGCCGCAAAAATTTCTTGCAGATCGTGCTACGGCGGCCAACACTCGGCCAGGATAGACTCCAACCAGCAGCAGGAGTAGCAGGGGTTTCAGGATGTGTGTGTGAGTGAGAGTGCATGTGTATGTATTGTGTGTGTGCGTCCTCACGCACTCATTAAGCATTTTTAGTCGAGCTTAGCGAACCGTTTGTTTGCATTGTCAACTGCCTGGCTGGCCTCACAGCCAACCCCCTTGCATCCCCTTTGTTTAGTGCCATGTGTCCGACTCCCACTGCCTCCTAGTCATAAATTTACACTCATCCACACACACACACACACACACATATATATATATATATATATATATATATATATGGGTGGTGAGGGTTTTTTTTAACTTAACTGCTGTTTGTTTGATTTTTAGCTTTGACAGCTGACAGTTCTGTGACGCGGAAGTTGGCAATTCTCACTCTGATACCACCACCATGGCCGAGTGGGTCATATTTAAAATGTTGCGCCACCTTATTTGACATTCGAGGGCAGCTGCTGCCAATGCGCTACTGCTGCTAATTATGAGCTTAGTTGCGCTTTGATGTTGCCCCAAAAATACTGAAAGATAAAAATAAAACTCGTTCAATTTTTTGCAATACATTTTTATTTATTTCGTTTCATTTTCAATATAATGTTTTTTTTTTTTTTTAATTTTCTCTTTTCTTCTGTAGTTTTCATATTCGCTGTTCATTTGCCTTGTGTATACATAAAACATTTGTTCATTTCGCTTAATTACTGATCAAAATATCGACAGCTAAAAATCTAGCAATTTAATGCTCTTAATAGCTAATAATAAAAATATACTAAGAACAAACCAAAGAAGTACAATGTTATGCCTTTTTCTTTTATTCATGCACTTTCATGTCTATGTAAGTATATAACCTCGAACAAAGCTACAGGCTGTCTATCAAATAGAAAAAAAATGTATATATAGATAAGTGTATATGCATATGTATGTATTTGTATGTAAATGTATATGAATCTATACGGTAATGTGTATGTTAATGGCATACTACAGCTAGGATATATGTAGATTAATTATCGTTATACACTTAGAAGTACACTTAGCACAATTGAACTGAAGAATTTGAATTGAATTTTAGTTTTATATATATTCATCATTTTCTTCTACAATCCTTTTTTTCTCGATTTTTTCGTATTTTGTTGACACTATTTGTATATGTGTATTTCATTATTTATCATTGTTTTCAGATTTGCTGAGCTTCAAATGTGGGCGTGTCATAAGTTAAGGCGACTGTTTAAGAGTGAGTATTTAGTTACTACAATTTCTCAAATACATTTTTAACTAAAACTAACACTTAAGCTCTAAGAAAAAAATCTCTTACAACTATACCTAAAATACTAGACACAAAAAAAATGCACATCTTAAATACTATCAGGTACTTTGGCATAATTTTCTTAAGCAATAAACACATTTGCGTATGTTTGTTTTGCAAGCACATTACATAAACTCTCTTCACGTATTAATTTTTTTTTTATTCGTATATATATATATATATAATTTTGCGCGACCCTTGTTGCACGTTTTTGAAGCGAAGCCCACATTTGAGCCGTTGGAGAAGCAGAATATTGATTAATACAGCAAGTCGGGATATACTCGTAAGTTGTTGGATATGTAAGTTGTTGGATAGCTTTAAGATATGCTCAACAGTTTACAGTTGAATCAAAAAAGGTAAGGGAAATGCATTTTTGATGGGAGCACAAGCTATGCCATTGTTTAACATTTCCGCACAACAAAGGCACGCAAATTATTAATATTTTTTAATTTTTTAAACGTATATATTTGTTTTTTTCTTTCATATATTTTTTAATAATGTGTTCGATTTGTCTTTCTAGTAATTGATTTTTTTTTTAACGATTTCAATATTATGTTTGTGTTGTGTTGTTGTAATAAATAATCTTTGTAAGGCGTTTCTTAACATGCAGCAAGTTTCTAACGACTTCTAAATGCGCAACATTCTAGCTTATCTAACTATTTAGTCTATATTAATCTGGCCTTTAGTTGGGGCCCACTTACAACTAGCGAAAAATTGAATTTGTCACGCTTAAGCAAAAGCCGGAAAGGACCTTTTAAAAAACTGACTTTCGACTAAGCTAGGACAAAAAATGAATAAGAAAACAATACGAATATATCAATTTAAGATAGAATACTAGGTATATCTGTAGTTAGTTAAAGATCTAGTAGTAGTCCACTAGTGTGCATTTGTATGAGTAAGCCCTAGGTCTACTTACATATGTACATACGCATATACGTACATATGTATGTATATATGCATGTATGTGCTGCCATATCTGACGTGGCATGAGCTCATTTAACCTTAAGTGATACAATGCGAATTTTTGGTTGCTAAAAACGTTGCATGGGTCTCGAACAAAACTTACCCTTATGCCCCTCCCCCCACCCTCCCCTCCCTTCTCCACTGACCGCCGTGTGGCGCTCAACGTGCGCTCTTGAGATCAGTCTTACGAGTGTTGTTGTTGTTATTCTTGCTTGGATGGCTGCTCAGCTGGGTAGGGCGAGTGGGCGGGTTGGCTTTAGTTGCTCGCACACCCATAGGCAACTAACTGCTTAGACCGCTGTGGGCGGGGGCAACAGCGACGAATTTGACGTACGTAAATAGGGATTACCATAGATGGCGCTGTAACGCGGATCAACGCTCAATGCCATTGAACTGGGAACCACCACATGGGTGGTGGTGGCGGTGCTCTGATTGCTGCAACTGCCATTCGGCGATGAGCTAACCACCGATGCCGTTGTCGACTGCAGACTAGGCAAGCCGTTCTCCTGTCGTATCTCGCGTGCCCCAATAATGCTGCCAGTGAGACTGCCACCGCTGCTGTTCGTCAGGAAGGTCATCGGCACACTCTGCCCCGCCGTCTGCTGCTGCTGCTGTTGCTGCTGCTGCTGCTGGTGGTGGCTGTGACTGTGGTGGTTGTGCTGCTGTTGATGTTGTTGCTGCTGCTGCAGCTGCAACTGATTCTGATGGTTGTTCTGCAGTATTGTCGAGCTTCCATTGGACTTGGTCGAGCAGGAGGTCAGATATTGTGGCGGTGGGCTATAGTGTGTGCTGTAGTCACCGTAGGGCACGTAACCGCCAGATATATCCAACTTGAGGTCACTGTAATTGGAAGTGCGATCGCCTGGTTCCATTTTGCAGCTAACACCGCCGATCTTTGTGTTCTGATGCTCGCTGATGACGTCAGCGGGTGGAAGTTTTGTGCGTTTCCTGAACTTCAAGTAGATCAGAATGAGAATGACAATGAACACCACCACGAAGGCCAACATTGAAAGGCCGTACACTTCCGTCATATATAGGGATACGCTCTCTGAACCGACAAAAAAAAAAAAAAATAAATAAATAAAAGAAATTAAATAAACTGTGAGAATCGCACAAGGGCAAAATATTTCGTTAGTTCTTGGAGTGTGGCACACCATCGAATGTAATATATAGCTAATTGTATACTTACTCTTTGGCAGCAGCTGAATCTCGGCCACATCGTTGCCATAGTCGTTGACGACCGTGCAGTTGTATTTGCCATAGTGATTGGCCTGGCTGTCGCGTATGATGAGAATACTCTTCACTCCACCGGGCACCGCATCGACCAGTATGGAGTAATCGTGACCTGACTCGGAGCTAATCTCCTGCCCATTGAACGTCCAGGAGACGTGACGAGCTCTTGGCACACTACTGGCAAAACACTCAATGCGCGCCGTATCGCCAACGAGACCACATTGCGAGCGCAGCGAACTGATGCTGGGCGAACCCTTCAGATAAACATAGGCATCGGCTGAGATCTCGGCATAGCCAGGCACATTCGCTTTGCAATAGTAGCGTCCAGCTGTCTCGTTGCTCACACTAAATGTTAGATTGGTGCTGGTACCGACCACACGGTCACTGGGATGCTGTATCCAGACAATCTCCGGTTGCGGATTGCTGTCCACCTCACAGTTGAGCGAGACAATGCTGCCCACATCTGCCTCCATCGATTGTGGGCGTTGCTTGAAACTGGGCGCATCTATTCAATTGATAGTCAACGGATAAGGGAGCAAGGTGGAGTTGTTTAGTTGGTTAGGACTCCAGTATTCTGCATATATGCATATTACTCATTGAAATGCACACTTACAGCTTATGTCCAGCGTCTCGCTGTCCTCGCTCTTGCCCACAGAATTCTGTACCTCGCATTTAACAATGGCGTCATGGAACTTGCGCGTCACGTTGCGTATGACCTGCAAAATGGATAGATTGTGGATTGTGGCAATTGTGATTGAGTTAGGGTTTGAGGATTGGGTATGAGGAGCTGGCTGAGAATGACAGCAAATTGTGGGAACGTTATGTCTTTCCGGCCGCTCCAACAATTGGTTCTCAGTCTGGTCGCCAGCCGTAATTGCCATGACAAAATAGCTAGCCAGCATTATACAACATTTTTATCGCAGCGCCAGCAAAGTTGCTCTAATTATGCGGCTCGCTGCTGGAATGTGGACGTGGTGGCCAGATCAGGCCAGACCAGCAGCAAACATTGTTTTCAATATATATTTTTCTCCGTTGCGTAACAACTAAAGGCAGCAGAGAGTGTTAGGAGCTGAGGCTGGTGCACTTACCATCTCAGTTTTTTGACCGCCTATAATTGGCTCGTCGTTGATGTACCAGCGATAACGGACATCGCTGGGATTGGCATCGGCTCGGCACTCAAGTCGCACCTGTGCATGTTCCACAATCCGCTGAACGGCGACAGAACCGGAGACGGAGGTGGATGTGGAGGGAGAGCCGATGGCGCTACCGCTTCCAGGGCCAATCACATTCACCTTGACTTTGGGCGCGTATTTAACCTATTGAGAAAACGTTGAAAGCAACACAGGAAATCAGTTAGTTTCAGTTGAGATTCAATGAACATTTTGCGCAATTTTGGAGCCTGCTTTCAATATTTATATTGAGGCCATTTCCTAAGCTCCTAATATTGTTACCTTGTTGAACAATCTATTTAAGTCATAATAATATAATAGTTCTTCTAAACATTTCTCTGCTTCCTACTTAGTTCAACTTGTCTAGAACTAACTCACTGTAAAGTCTCTCAACTCAGTTTAACGATGTATCGTCCAACTGGTTTGAGTTCTCATTACGGCCAGTTTCCAGTTGTACTGATGCTGAAAGAGCACCTCATTACGAACCTTGCGTAATTGGCTTGAAGAGCGCTGACTGTTCCTCAGAATACTCACATAAGATGCTAACGGTGTGTTCAGTTGACAATCAAATATATATATATATATATATATATATATCTATATTGAGCAGGAACTTGGGGTGGGTGGTGGTTTTAGTAGCTTTGACAGCTGCCGAGGGTCTCTTATGAATGCTCTTACTTATGCCTATGTCTTATGTTTCACTATTAATTAGCCCATCAATGTAAAGAGTGTAAGACACAAGCCTAATAAAAACCAAAAAAAAAAAAGAAAACAAAAAATAATAATAGGCCGAAGCTTATTTACCCTTGTTGACTGAAATCGCCGCATATAAACTTTATTAGAAATATTAATTTCAAAAACAAAGACTCTACTTTTGATGGTGACCACATATTTGTAGAGATATGCATATATATATATATAATATATTGGTGATCCCCTTGACAGTTGACAGTTGGTTCAGGTGTTGACTGTGGCGTCAGCGCATGGTGGTAGCCAGATAGTCAAAGACCCAGTCCGAGCAGACCAAGTCCTACTTGCTGACCATACTTCCCGCTAGCTGATGCTAAATTGCAATGGACCTGTCAACAGACGACTCGGACAGATTGGACAGCTGAGGCAACCGCACTGCAGGGCTACTGGCTACTGGCTATTGGCTACTGACTGCTGGCTGGGAGGGAACTCAGTGGTGTTCATGAAGCTTACCTCGACACGTATTTTTGCTGAGCGATAGGTGCGGTCTGCCGTATTCTGTGCCTGGCACGTGAAATTCGTGTTGTGGTGCTCCTTTTTGGGTGTGAGGCGTAGCAGCGATTTTGCCGTATAGCGACGCAGATCGGGCAGCGGTATAACTGTATACTCAATGTTATCCGTTAGTACGTTGCCCAGGCCATCAATCCATGTAATCTGTTCACATAACCGTAGAAGGGGAGAAACGAACAATACTTTTTGTTTAGTGTCAGCTCTCAATTTGGGTTCAACACTCCGAAACAAATATGCCCCACAATATATACAAAGTGTACATTTTTGATAGGCAGCTCGCGCTGAGTATTTTTTTAAATGATTTAGTCTTACTTGTACTTTATTAAAGATATATGTATTTTTGAGATTATGGTGAATAAATTTATGATATTAAATAAAATGTTCCCAAAAGACCAAAATTAATCTCTTTTTTCTAAATTTGGCATGTTTTTCTTTTTATTTTATTTATTATTTTTTTGAGTGTGAGTCGCAGCAGGCAGCAGCAGAGCCATTGTTTGATTGGTTTCGACTTGAGCGTTGAGTGTGAAAGAGCGCTTTCAACAGGGCTGCGGTTTCAGCTGCTGCTGCTGCCTGAGCTGTCGACTGAGATGTCAATTTGTCGATATTCGCATTTCGCATTTCGCATTTTGCATTTAGCATTTTGCATTTGGCTTACCTCGGCTGCGGGCTTGCCGCCAATTGACACACACTCAATCTCCACCTTGCGGTCCTCGGTGGCATAGATGACATCGCCCTGTGTGATTTTTGGAGCCTCTGGTGGCACTAGAACCGTTAGGCCCGCAAATGTTGATCGTATGGCTGGTTGGGCATCGGGTCCGGGACTCACTTGACACTGGTAGCGAGCATCATCGTCCAGCATCACCGGATAGATGTCCAACGAGTAGTCACCCTCCTCATTGCTGCCAACCATTGCGTAGCGCTCAAATCCACTCAGATCACGCGAAGTGCCCAGGCCAAAGTCGTCCTTTGTCCATTGCAGCGTGCCCTGCTTGTTGATGACCCGACATGGCAGCGTTACCCGTGCTCCAACCACAGCCGTCTGGTCCTGCGGCTCCATGGCGAAGCGCTGGTTCTGATAGCTTGTATACAGCGATGGTGTCGCCCACACCGCCTCCACAACGCCCATCAGCATCAACAGCAGCAGTGACGCCCTCCCAAAAGGCTTGAAACGCATGCCACGTTCTAGCTCTTTCCGTTTTGTTGTCATTGTGCCAAGCTACAAGTAGAAAAGCAAATTCCAATATTATTTTGACATGAGTTTCAATTAATTTTCATTTGAATTCAATCCAATTCTATTAATATTTACATTTAATATGACAAGCGCAAATTGTTGATGCCTCAAGCGGTTATTGGCTTGAAGCTAAAGAAGGCTTTAAAAATCCACTCAACAATTTTGGTTACCTTGTGATTTTAAGCATAATCAAATTGGAATACAAATTCTCTATTTCACTCAATTAAAATACAATAGAACTAGGAAAAGTTTTCAAAATCACCATTTGGTATTATTCAACATTATTTCAACATTGTTTTTCCTCATTTTGTGTCTGATTATAATCTGCTTGACGAGCCCTGATCTACATTTTCATTTAATACTACAAAATGATCAAACCTGTAGTTTTTTAAAGTTAAGTTAATAAAATACGATTGAAATGAATCTGACAGATCAACCAATTTTTAGCATATACCTAATTCTCCAATTTATTAGTAATTTTATGAATTTGTGCCATATTTTCGATACACGATAAACACCAATAGCAAATGCAATTTCGGACAAAAGTGTTGACCATTTTCTGTGCATGCTAGTGTCGCTAATATTGCACCCCAAAAAGCATGCAATGCTCCTTCTGGATGAATTAAGATTGGGTTTGCCACTACTCACGGGCACTGCAAGCTAGCCAAGCGAAGAAACACGCGAAATAAAATCAACGATTTTTTGTTTTGTTGAACAAATTTTGTGGGCACCAATTGCTTGGGGGTCTCTTCAAGTATTATTATTGCGTTTATTGTTTATTGTTGATGTTGGCGCGTGTTTTTATTTTGTTTTATTTATGTTTTTATATTTCTTGCGTTGTTGGAGCGCCTGCAAGTGCAGACAGACGCGTACGTGCGCGAAAAAATAACATCAAAACTCAGAAGCACACACACACACACACACACTAAAATACAAATTCATAGAAGGAAAGTAAGCCAAAAAGAAAAAAAGGAATTATATTCACATTAGCCAACATGAAGAAAAGATGTCTGTGCGGTGGCGTCTCAAGTGCGCTTACTTTACTCAGGACCCGACAAGGGTTACGTTTACGTTCACGTTTACGACAACCGAAACATATAAACAAGAAATGTGCAAAAATGTTGCCGAGCAATTCGTAAAATGTAGAAAATGTGCGAGAGTCATAAGTATAAAAAAGCGAAATATGAAATGCGGCCCCAATAAAAATAAAAGGGTTGCCAAGCCCAGGCAAACAGGCCATCCCTAAGCAACTGGGCTAGCTGTCCGACTGCTAGATGCCCTGTTTCAATGCCAGAACAGTTCCACACGTATGGAAATGTGCCTTGTCCGTTGCCTTACAACTGATAGACTAATTCGCTTCTTTTGAAGGAGTTCATCACTTGAACATTGGCGGCGCATCTATTGCGGCATAATGTGCATACACAATAAATATACTGTATTTTTGCCATCTAGGAGCAGAGCATCAAGGACGTGTTTGCTCTAAAAAAAATAGATATATATATATTTATATAAGTACTGCTTAAATACTCAGCTATCCAAACTATTCATTTCAATATCGATCTCTGGTATCTGGTAGGCGTTCATTAAACTCACACACACACACACACACACATACGCACTCACACACTTAATGAGTTGAGTCAAAAATAGTCAAATACACAATTATCGATTCAATACGGGAAACAGAATGTGTTTCATAAATTGCAGCTGTCCATGCTAAGTACATAGCTACCAAATATGTGTGTATTGCTGCACAAATAGTGTACATATATTATTAATTTTCTTATATAACATATATATATATATAAATATATATTTATATATATATGCATACTAAGAAAATAATACGCACAATTGTGCACCATTCAATGGTGCCATTAACCGCTGCACTTTGGCACTTTTGGCTAGCCAGCGGAGACTTCAATTTCGATTCCAGCTCCCACCTTCGATACCGATGCTGTTATCGATGACTATGCCGATGACGATGGCGATGCCGATGCCGATGCCGATACTATCTTCATCTTCGTTTAAATGCCCTGCTGCCCACCCCACTTCTGACTGCTCCCTTTCCCTCACTCTTTTCACCTGTCAGCGGTTCGTTTGGCTCGCTGTCGTCAGGTGCGACCTATACTCGAGTTTTCTCACGCATTTTTGTTCACATTTTCAGCACACGCAGACATATATATGGTATACATACTTAGACAGATAGTTATGTGTATATATATACTGTGTTTCTGTAGTAAGTAGTTTGCTTCCGCCACTTGGCGTCTATTGCTTTTCAACTAATTTTGTTTTCTTGTAGTTCGTGGCTGTTATTTGTTTTTATTGCATTTATACGGAAATTGGCGCTACTCATACACACACACACACACACACACACACATACACACACACACACACACACATGCGCACACAGAAAATTATAACAGAGCATAAAAAGAGACGACTGAAGTAGAAGAAGAAGAAGGGGAAGCAGAAGCAGCGGCGGCGGCGGCAGCACCAGCAGCAGTAGAAGCTAAACAAATCCATAAAACCGAAGAGCAGCCCAAGACGCACATAGCAAAAGATTACCGCGCTTGCTTCCGTTTGACTTGTATGAGGGAGTGAGGGGAGTGAGGGGAGCGAGGGGAGCGAGGGGAGCGAGGGGAGGGGTGGTGTTTCAAGACCTGGAAATGACTCAAAATTAGAGCCATGCACTGAGTTTTTTGGGCCAAACACAGAGACACACACACAGGCACATGACTGGGAACCATTTGCGGGCAGCTGGCCGAAGAAACCGACACGACGGTCGCTAATTAAAAGTGATTATAGACACGCTCGTTTATCGCCAGTCCCCACCGATTTTTTCTGTGTATTTGGAGTTTTGTTTTGTGCGTCTGTTGTAATTTTCATTTTAATGCTGGAAACTGTCGGGCAGAGCGAGAGATTTCACTTTTGGCTACATAAGTATTCAGTTTATTGTCATTTGATATGATAGCGTGGTACACGAGAAAATGCCAAAATAATAAACATATCTGTGGTATGCATATTGACTAGATGATGTGCAAATATATTTCAATTCAAAAGCAAGATAGCTGAAGATCTAAAAAATATTAACACTTTTCGTAATTGCACTTTAATGATATAGTATAGTATATAATAATACTAAAAGTGTTATCAAAGATTCTTTTGCTTAATCAAAATTAAGTGTGTAGCTCAAAATGTCCAAAGATAAATATAATTTGTAAATAACTTCATAGACTTTCGATACAATGTTATGCGTTTATTGTTAATTGAATAATGAATACATGATTTTTGAAACATTCACATTATCTGTCTCTCTCTCTCTCTCATTAGCTTTATCTCCCTTCCGATATCTGGCAGGCATGGAGTCCACTTGAAACCAAAATGCCAATCACCCGACAAACACAAAAACATTTCCGTTCCAGGCGCTTTCCGCTCCAGTTTTTAATTTAACGCTGCCGCTTGCTGCCATTTGCTGCCATTTGCTGCAACTTGCTCGTTGCCAGTTACAAGCTGAGAGTTGCCCCAACTGACAGCAGATACAGTAATTATTTTCAGGCGACGCTTATCACACATAAATCTCAAGCTGGCTCTGGTCAACCAATCGATACAGCAACATCAACAACATCGTTATGCGAGGGAACCAGAGAGGCATTCAGGAGAAAAGAGGGCAGCTTGTTTTGTCAGCGTCACTTTCCTGCCGTTGGGCTTCCTTTAGTGGCAGCTGCTGTTGCTACTGATGCTGCTGGACACTAGACTGGCAACTGGCAACTGGCAACTGGCAAGTGGCCACTGGCCACAAGATGTTTGCAGCTGCAGCATGCGTGCAGCATCCTTTACGCAGCATGCCAAACATCTTTTGCGATATTTATAGTTGGCTGCAACTGGGGAACAGGTGCTGTGGCAACGCCCGATACCCAACCACAACCCCAATCTCAACCCCAAGAGCGGCTCCATCTGCAAGTCTAACTTCAAGTGCAGAACTGAGTCCAATGAAGTTATTTTTGTGATGAATGTGAGCTCTCGACTCAGCGCCCATTGCCCCATGCTAATTATTTTCAGCTCGCTCCGGTCGAACCAGTTTTTGCTTAGCCAGACCCAGGCCAGAGCCAGAGCCAGAGCCAGAGCCAGAGCCAGAGAGACTCTGGCTCCTCTTTGCTCTCCTCTGCTCTCGCATTATTATCATCTTTTAGTTATTAGATGCAAGCTGCAGCGGATGTTCAGCTTCCTTCGCTTTCAGACTTTTGTCATTTACAGTTTTGGCCTCATTGCCAGCCAGGCACGTAGACAACGACAACGTCGACGAATAGACGCCAAATGTCCAAACGTCGTATCGACAAATGGTCCAACTTGCGAGTAGCAAGTTGCCTCTCTCATAAATCAATAAAAGGCCTACCTGATACAAATGACTTTAAAAAATTTATATTGAACGCTTGCTGTCGAACCAAAGCAAAGTTGTTTTTTCATACATCTATTTGTCTTTGTCTTTTATTTTGCCAAGCCAAGCGAGTTTACTCTGAGTTTAGCCACTTTCTGCCTCAATTTCTTAGCCAAGATTTAAGGCCACAACGGCAGCTGCATGCATAAACGCTCTGATGCAACCATGGGCACCACAAGCTGTTAGCCACTCCCTCGTCGTATTTGTGCCCCTTTGCACTTGTATAACAATTAGCTTTTGTCTATAGCTGCCTGTTAGTATCAGGCAGCTTTTGAATGTGTGCCTTAAATATATTGTCAGAATAACACACACAGATAGAGAGAGAGAGACAGAGACAGAGAGAGAGAGAGAGAGAGAGAGAGAGAGAGAGAAAGAGACATACAGATTAGTACACAGATAAAGAGAACAGAATGGAGAGATAAACTTATAACAGAAGTTGGTAAACAGAGAAAGAAAGAAATCAATATGGTGATATTGATAGCGCCGTAGAGAGAAAGGGTTACAGAGACAGACAGGGAGACAGAAAGATACATAGGGACAGAGA